TTTGCTTCCTTTCCGGTCGACAGACATCCGTGGATTTCCGAGACGAGACCTCGGTTGATCATCTGCAGCAAAAGCATCCTCGTACGGGGGTCCAACACTTGTTCCGAAGTGGCTCGGTCTGCCTTGTCTCCGTGCTTGTTGCTCTGCCCCGAAATGCCGGCCTGTTGGTCGTCCAGCTTGATCTTTGCGGCATGGCGAGTAAGAGACTTGACCTGGTCATCGACATATGCAGAGGTGTTCACGGTAGGCTTCTGTGTGTTTGTCTTGGGGTATGTCCATCTCGGCACATTGGAGTCGCCAGCCAGGTCGTTGATTCTGCGTTGGCGGTTGTATGCTTTGGTAAGATCGGAGTTATCAGAAGACAGAATATCTTCACGATCCAATTCGTCGTCGAAAATGTCGTCGTAGTAATCATCTTCCTCATACTCTTCCTCGGGCAGATCTTGCCCCGCCTCGGCGGAGTCTGCAGTATCAGGGTTCACGTAGCCTTCGTTGGGCACGTAGGTATGCGACGGCGCGAGGCCATCGGCAATACCAGCTGCCGGGACAGTATTCTCAATTGAAGCCATTCTGGATCTTCAATGTTGAGAATGTGGAGATTTGAATATGTCCGTCGGTCCCCAAGGTTTTTTTTTTTTTCTGTGGCCCAAATTAGGGTCACCGCCCGGCAGAACCCCGCGCCCAACGAGACGCGCTAATTTCGTTCCTCGCGTAGTCAACTCCAAGGTTTTGCAACACAATCACGATACCCCTCGGCTTTTGTCTGTCCATCGCTAGAGATATCTACTGGTTGTGATTCTTGTGGCACATTCTATCATTAATTTCACTCCTGCGCCAGGCGCGTTATGCCGAGGGTGTTCTAATTGATCATCGCGTCGCGCGTTTCTTCTCAAGATGTATGTCAAGCAGATCATCATCCAAGGCTTCAAGAGGTATTTTCCACCCCCAAATGTAAACTTCATGATTTTATGTAGTTTATATTGACATCGCATGAAATTCAGCTACAAAGATCAAACGGTCATTGAACCATTCTCCCCCAAACACAACGTCATTGTTGGCCGCAATGGTTCCGGGAAAAGTAACTTCTTCGCGGCCATTCGCTTCGTCCTCAGCGATGCCTACACTCATCTCGGTAGGGAGGAGCGCCAAGCTCTTTTGCACGTATGTATCTTGGTATCGCTCAAATATACATAGGTTGACCCCAAGCAGGAAGGTTCCGGTTCAGCTGTAATGTCCGCCTACGTCGAGATCATCTTCGACAACTCCGACGATCGATTCCCGACCGGCAAGCCCGAGGTCGTCCTGCGTCGCACCATCGGTATTAAGAAGGACGAATACACTCTCGACCGCAAGAATGCCACCAAGAACGATGTTATGAACCTACTCGAGTCGGCGGGTTTCTCTCGGTCCAACCCTTACTACATTGTGCCCCAAGGCCGAGTCACTGCATTGACCAACATGAAAGACTCCGAGCGTCTGGTTCTGCTTAAGGAGGTCGCTGGTACTCAAGTCTACGAAGCTCGTCGTTCGGAGTCTTTAAAAATTATGAATGAGACCAACAGCAAGCGCACCAAGATTGACGAACTCCTCGACTATATTAATGAACGTCTTGCCGAACTTGAAGAAGAAAAGGACGAGCTTCGGAGCTATCAAGAGAAAGACAAGGAGCGCCGATGTCTAGAGTACACCATCTACTCCCTCGAACAACAGGAGATCGGTAAGGTTCTCAATGAAATCGAAGAGCGACGACAGAACGGCGTTGAGGATGCCGACAATAACCGTGACCAATTCGTTGAAGGCGAGAAGGCAATGGCTCAAATCGATGCGGAGATCGCTGAGTGCCGGCAACAGATTGAGTTCCTGAAGGTTGACAAGGCTCAACTAGAGGACGAACGGCGTGAAGCATCCAAGACTTTGGCTCAAACTGAACTGCAGGCCAAGTCTCTTTCTGACAACCAAGCTGCCGCACAGATACTGAAATCACGCTACGACTCCGACCTCAGCTCTGTTCAGACCGCTATCCGTGAGCGTGAAATCGAACATCGAGAAATCCTCCCTCGGTTCAATGTGTTGAAGGATCAGGAAGACACTGTCAAATCGCAGTTGACGGATGCCGAGACATCACGTCAGCGTCTGTATGCTAAGCAGGGTCGAAACTCGCGATTCAAGAACAAATCTGAGCGTGACAAGTGGCTTAACATGGAAGTCCGCGAGAGCCATAGTTCTATAAACACTGTCCAGGGTGTGATCTCTCAGACTCAGGAAGATATCCAAGAGCTAGAAGCCGAGATTGCCGCTTTGGAGCCGGAAACCGAACGCTTGCGCCAACAAATCGATGGACGCGGCGACACAATGCATTCCGTGGATCAACAAGTCCAAGATGCCAAGGATGAAAGAGACCGTCTCATGGACCAAAGAAAGTAAGCTTCCTGAATCAATAATTGGTTAGAATCAGATATTAATGTTTCCGCAGGGAACTCTGGAGAGAAGAAGCAAAACTTGACTCAGTGCTTTCGAATGCATCCCAGGAGGTGGATCGTGCCGAGCGCAATCTCTCGCAGATGATGGATAACAACACCAGTCGCGGAACCGCCGCAGTACGCCGAATCAAACGCCAGCATAATCTTGAAGGAGTCTACGGCACACTTGCCGAGCTTTTCGATGTCAGTGATAGATATCGCACTGCCGTCGAAGTCACTGCCGGCCAGAGTTTATTCCACTACGTTGTTGACACAGATGAAACTGCTACAACCGTTCTCGAGATTCTACAAAAGGAAAAGGCTGGTCGTGTAACGTTCATGCCTCTGAACAGACTTCGCTCTAGGCCGATGAACATGCCTCGTGCTAGCGACACAATACCCATGATCGACAAGTTGCAGTACGACCCAGCATATGACAGAGCCTTCCAGCACGTGTTCGGCAAAACTATCATTTGCCCCAACCTGCAGGTTGCGTCACAGTACGCACGAAGCCATGGTGTCAATGCTATCACCCCAGAGGGTGATCGATCAGACAAGCGTGGTGCCTTGACTGGTGGATACCACGACTCCCGCCAGTCGCGGCTGGACGCTGTCAAGGGTCTAGCTAAGTGGCGAGATGAGTATGAGATCAAGAGAAATCGCGGTACGGAAATCCGGAAAGAGTTGGAGAAACTCGACCAGGTGATCACCAATGCTGTCGGTGAACTGCAAAAGCTTGAGCAACAGAGACATCAGGTCCAGAACAGCAGTGGACCATTACGGCACGAGTTGAGGGCCAAGCGTGATCTCCTTCAAAACAAGAACGATACTCTTGACGCCAAGCGACGCGCTCTTCGAAATGTTGAGTCTAACCTTGCGGCACTGAACGACCAAGTCAATGCATTCCAGACCGAACTATCGTCACCTTTCCAGAAAGCTCTCACCAGCGAAGAGGAAGCTCGACTAGAAACTCTAAGCAGCACAGTGCAAGATTTGCGCCGTCAATACCAAGAGCTTTCGGGTCAGCGCAGCGAGCTCGAGGCCCGCAAGTCGGTGTTGGAAGTTGAGCTTCGAGAGAACCTCAACCCTCGCCTTGACCAATTACTCAACAGAGATATCGACATCGCTGACGAGGAAGTTCAGGGTAACCTGAAAGAGACACAGCGTGAAGTGAAGCGCATTGGTCAGGCATTGGAGAAGCTCAATGCACGACTAAAGGAGGTTGACATCTTAATTGAGGAAGGCAATACTCGCGTGGTGGATCTGCAACAGCGTAATGCGGAGACCCGACGAGAAATTGAAGAGCTTGCTCGATCTATCGAAAAGCATCAGCGCCGTATGGAGAAGAGCATGCAGAAAAAGGCAGCACTCACTAAGCAGGGTGCCGAGTGTGCGGCTAATATCCGTTCCCTCGGTGTTCTTCCGGATGAAGCTTTCACCAAGTACCAAAACACCGACTCCAACACCGTTGTCAAGAAGCTCCACAAGACCAACGAGGCTCTTAAGAAGTATTCGCATGTCAACAAGAAGGCGTTTGAACAGTATAACAGTTTCACCAAGCAGCGTGAGACTCTTACCACACGTCGTTCCGAGTTGGATGCATCCCAAAAGTCCATTGATGACCTCATTTCTGTTCTTGACCAGCGCAAGGATGAGGCCATTGAACGGACCTTCAAGCAGGTCTCGCGCGAGTTCCACAACGTGTTTGAGAAGCTTGTTCCCGCCGGCCGTGGTCGTCTTATCATTCAAAGAAAGACAGACCGTGCTACACGACTTGATGACGATGTTGACTCGGATGACGAGGAAGCACGGCAGAGCGTCGAAAACTACGTCGGTGTCGGCATCAGTGTGAGCTTCAATAGCAAGCACGATGATCAACAGCGTATTCAGCAGCTGAGTGGTGGACAAAAGAGTATGCATTTCCTGTCCGAATCTGTATTTTGTTGTTGCTAACTAACTTGCCGTAGGTCTTTGCGCTCTTGCACTCGTTTTCGCCATCCAGGCTTGTGACCCCGCGCCATTCTACCTATTCGATGAGATCGATGCCAACCTCGATGCTCAATACCGAACAGCCGTTGCACAGATGCTCAAGTCCATCTCTGATTCGACCAACGGACAGTTCATCTGCACTACCTTCCGGCCTGAAATGCTGCATGTGGCGGAGAAGTGCTATGGTGTGAGCTTCAGGCAAAAGGCCAGTACCATTGATGTTGTCTCGCGTGAGGAGGCTTTGAAGTTCGTGGAGGAGCAGAAGACCTGATGGTCGTATTGCCCAGGTGTGCTCTTTGTATATTGTAATCAACATTTGCTTCGATGGACTAGCTGGCTGGCGTACTCTGATACCGAATTCTTTTTTTGTTCTATTTTCATTCCAATTCTTGAAATGTAGTTATTCGTATGTGTATCGATGTCTTAGACATAATATAATGTGTATTTACCGGCCTAAAATAGAATTGTTATGAAGTGCCATGATATATATTTTACAGAACGGCTTTGGTTACAAATTGACTTGCTTCAACTTATATAGCATACTTTCACAGGTCAAGCTAACTCACACTCAATCAGACTCTCCACACCCCTCTGGGCAGTCCAGATCTTGACAATTTTGAGCCCAGCAGACTCAAGCAATGCATGCCATTGGCGTTCCGTACGCTCGCCAGATCCAATCTCCATCATAATCAAGTCCAGACTTGTGGTTTCCCAGTAGGCCCCCGTGTCCGGAATCACATTCTCGTTCACCAACAGCTTGCTATACCCGGGACGCATGGCGGCCACGATATTAGCGAGAATCTTACGGCAAAGCTCATCGGGCCAGTCATGAAGAACAGAATGCATATAGTACGCGCGGGCTCCTATGAGGACAGAATGTTAGTGCATATATTCCAGAATTTAATTGCAATACGCAAGGGCACGGGAAAGTCTTTTGTTCTCCTACCTTTCACTGGTTGCTCAGTAAAGAAATCATGACCAGTAACATCAATAGAGGGATGCAGGTTATTAACGGAAACCACCACCTCAGGAAGATCCTGAAGCACTAGACGACCAGGGGCGCCAGGCCATTTCCGACGGAAATCGGATAGATCATGGCCAAAGCTGCCTCCGACATCAACGAGCAGGACATCGTCGTCGCCTATCGTGACACCATCTACAAGCTTCTCTTGGACCGGGTAGAAACCGTGATCCATCCAGCGGGCTCGGCCTTGAGCGTAGACCGACATGTGTTCATTAAACTGCTTTGCTGTAATCGGTTCCTGCTGCACATGTCCGAAGAAACCCATGTCTGTTTCATAGCCCATCTGGAAAGCCGTATCTGTGGGACTTGTGGGGTTTTGGTAATTGTTCTTCTTAAGGAAGGCCGGTAGGGCCATAATGCCTTTGGTGAAACGGCGGGTCCTGAGAGTGTCAGTCGTTAATGGGGATATGGAGTTTAGATTATCAGCCTACATGAGCGGGAATGCGCCGCTGTATTTCTCAACTGTGAGGACCTTCGAGAACCCAGTAGGGCAGTACTTGTTGTGACCGGTCTCGGTTATTGTTCCCATTGCAGCGAGATGCTTCATCAATCGCTCTACACAAATTTGTCAGATATTCGTGTTTGCTGGTGTATAAATAAACCACTGACCGAGCAAGATTGGATCCACGCTAGTTGCCTTAGCAAGCTCTGCGACGGTCTTCGGTTTGTCATCTGTGCCGAGAGCCGAGAAGAGGTTTATATCAACGGCGGTCTCTAGTGCTGCATAACTCGTAGACTAAACGAATGCAACAATCGTGAGTCTACATACTCTTGACTCGCTTCGAGAAACATGGGACGACAGTGACAACACACCTCGGACCAGCAGTGCCGGATAATTGCCTCTCGGGGTGTTTCCAATGCATAGGTCAATGACCGGGTAGCTTCTAGCAGTTTGGCCCGTGCTTCGGGATCCTGGGCGAGGAGATCTTTGCCGTGACTCGCAACCGTCTGAAGGAGATCAGACACGGCATCTGGCAGGTTTGAGGACAGAGCAAGACGCTCTACATCCGCGGCATCATTGACTGAGCCATTCGAGTTTCCGTTGGGGTACGTCATGACGGACTGTGCTTGCTACAAGGTATATGTACGAAGAGAACGGGTGGGATTAAAAGGAAAACCTCCACCATCACAGAGTCTCGCATTACACTAAATCCTAGCTACTAATATGTCCGGATAAAGAATAGTCGAACCCCTGACACTATCTTCATATTAGTGTCATATGTTATCCCATTAAGCGACCCCGAGCGGCAATTGGTTGGTCCATTGAACTCCGCAAGTTATTAAATGCCGAAAGCCATTGTCCTAACCGAGGAAATCCTGCAGCATCGACAGCTCCACATAGTGCAAGGCGATCGGCCCGTTCCCAAACGAGGGATCTACGCACTGGTTCGTAGAAATGTGACAGAAAATCGAAGGTAAGATAATATGCAATCACTTTCTATAGTAGCGCAAGGGGGGTTTTTTTTTGATTCATAAAACATATGCGTACTATACTATAAATGAGGGTATATACAATTCCAAGTACTATTATAATAGCGCGCCAAGGCTGTAGTGGCTGGGGGCCAAAAGCCATTTACACATGTCTTCTAGCCACTTGCGATCTGAAGGCTTGATATCTTCATTTTTCTGGGGAATTAATTGGTCGAATTCTCTCAATATAACCCCCACCGGGCCATCCTGATCAAGAAGTAATACAATGGGGGATATTCTTAAGTAATAATTTATTCTCAATTTTTTAGTATTATTAAGTCCTCGTCTACTCTAATACCAGTCTAGACGCCCGTAGAGGATATTGTTACGATTCTCCTATACGTTGCAGTCACTGCTCTCGGCATTATGGCAACCATGGACGCTGAATATATGAGCCAGACAAAGGGTCCACGCATTCTAGGCGTGTTCTGGGCCTTCTTCAGTGTAAGTGTGGTGATGGTATCCTTGCGACTCTATATCCGAGCCCGGATGTTAAAGAATATTGGACTCGATGACTATATTATCGTGGCAGCAATGGTATGTACCTTCCAAGTGATTTTGAAATACGCCAGATACCAATTCTATAGGTCATGGTCACCAGTTATACAATTGTCACCACGGTGAATGTCGTTCTAGGCTATGGGAGCCATACCTCTGCGTTGATAGAAAGAGGCGGTATGGACTTGGCCGAGCGCATTCTAGTCATTAATTATGCAAACTTTGCGCTAGGAATCATGTCTTTCACAACTCCGAAACTTGCAGTCGCTGCTCTCCTGAATCGCATCATGAATCCCAGCCGATTCCACCGAATATGGCTATGGATATTGACAGCCTCGGTCTTTGTGGCATCGACCATCTGCATCATCGTTCTTTTCACCATGTGTGATCCTCCTCAGGCTTTATGGAAGGTTCATCTCATGGCTGAAGGGGCAACATGTCGTTCGATTACAGTCCTGGTGGGCTATGCAATCTTTACTGGAGGTATGTCGGGGGGTTGTATGTATTTCGCAAACAAACAACTAAACCTTTCTCAGTTCTGTCCGCCGTGGTTGATCTATATCTTGCAATTTATCCGACTGTGGTATTGCTACGACTTCAAATGTCGCTTAAGAAGAAATTGGCCCTGTGCGCGGCTTTGGGGCTGGGCGCCGTGTGAGTTGGTTCCTATTATGGTCCGGAGCAACTAGCTGATCTTTCATACAGAGCCTGTGCAATGGCTATTGTCAAGTGTCTACAGCTGCCGGGTCTATACAATACGACAGACTCGACATGTAAGTTGTTTTGCATAAAGCGAGAGATTTACCACTGACACAATATAAACAGACGCAACAGCAGATCTTGTTATCTGGACGAGGTATGTTTTCAGTCACTCCCTATACAAGATTAAAGATTTATATCTGACCGTGTATCAGTGTCGAGTCGAACATCATCATAATGGCCTCTTGCATCCCAACCTTGGGTCCGATGTACGAAATGATCCGAGGCAAACGTTCCTGGAGTTCTCACGGGCGATATGGTAGTAGTAAGATGCAGTCTTACACGGATAGGCCGACGAAGAAATCAACCAACACTCGCGAGGACGACGACATCCTCATGACCACGAATATTGAGACTACGAGAAGTGGTAGCCAGGAAAGCATTTTGAACTCCGACCAGCTCCGGAAAGAGGCCTATGTGGTCGGCAAGATTCATCGCACAGATCAGGTAAAGATTGAATATGGGACAAGACCTCAAGGTGACAACGAATCACGGCCTTCATGGTAGAAGGGGTATCTACGAGTGTGCTAATACTGCTTGTGTTCATTGGGCTTTCGTGAACTCTTCCTAATTATTTTCCCTTTTTACTGTTGCTCAATGATGCCGTGAAAATATCTGGTGTAGCGGAACGCTTCCATTTGTAAGATGCTTGTGATGCATATAAACCCGACTAATCAGGCAAAAAGAAGCATATCAACAACCCCATGCCTTACTCTTTCGCCCATTCGAATAAGATATCCTCAGGAACATCACGGACCAAAATATGGACATGCTCCAATGCCCTCACGCTCTGTAGGCCAACCCAATTCTTAAACCACAACACATGGGAGCCAGGATCCGAGAAATTCTGAGGATCCTTAGCCAAACGGTCCACGAATGTCTTTTGAACAAAATTTTTGATCATTGCACGAGATTCATCGGTCAAATGACCCTCATCGGATTGTACAGGGATAGGAGTGCGCAGCCACACGACGAGATGTGAGATTCCGGGTGTAACGCCATATGGCCAGTCATTGCGGAGGATCTTGTAGTCCTCGGGATCAGCAAAGGGAAGCGGGTTCTTGAAGGCCGCAGTCCCGCTGGTAGTATTTTGCGGTAAATGCCACTTTAAGCGCTGCTGGCAAATATAATTCATGATCGTGCCATACTGGGCCTTGGTCTCTTGTGTCCAGGCCAGGTATCGGCGGAGATCGGAAGGCTTCCGCTTGAGTACGCCGAGGTCATTTCGTGCTATTACAGTACGTGGTATGAGGGGAATTGTTTCCCGGGCAGATTTAGAGAGATCGGAACACTTACCGATGATACTTTTTAGCTCTTCCCAGTCGTGGTGTACAAATTCCTCGTCGGTCATGGCCAGAAGCTTGTGGTCCAATTCCGTTAGATTAAAGGCAGGGACTTGCGGTACGGACATTTTGAAGGTGATAAGGAAACAAAGAGCAGTGAGTCAATAACCGTTCAGGTGGGAAATTCCGTTGGGCGGAGCCAACGGGTCCCCCTCATATCTTTTTACCTTCTCCCTCTTCTTCTCTTTTCTCCTTTATCGCTCTTTTTTCTTTTTAACTACAGTATCCGAGTTCTATCATAATGAGGTGAGTTAATATTCTTCACTTCTTTACTACTCAATCGAACAATGGCTGATTCCTCCAAGTCTCGCCACCATCGGCATGCGCCTCGCGCCCTCGGCCGTGCTCATCGCGGGTTTTTACGCTGTGCAGCCTGAGTCGCTCGCCTATGCAATTGCTCTCGGTGTAATGCTGGCTGGTTATTTGGTTTTCAGCACCCGTGCGTGTACCTTTTATCGATCAGAGTGGAACTGAGTAACTGACCTGACCCTAGTAAACGCCGAGCCTCGCAAGGTCTTGAACCCCACCGAGTTCCAGGACTTCGTCCTCAAGGAGAAGAAAGAGATCTCTCACAATGTCGCCATCTACCGTTTTGCCCTCCCCCGTCCCACCGATATCCTCGGCCTCCCCATCGGTCAACACATCTCTCTTGCTGCTACTATCGCCGGTCAGCCTAAGGAGGTTGTTCGCTCTTACACCCCTATCTCCTCCGACAACGAGGCCGGCTACTTCGATCTGCTCGTCAAGGCTTACCCCCAGGGTAATATCTCCAAGTATCTTACTGAACTGAAGATTGGCGACAACATGAAGGTCCGCGGCCCCAAGGGCGCCATGGTGTACACCCCCAACATGTGCCGTCACATTGGTATGATCTCCGGTGGTACTGGTATCACCCCTATGCTGCAGGTTATCAAGGCTATCATCCGCAACCGCCCTCGCAACGGTGGTAACGACACCACCAAGGTTGACCTGATCTTCGCCAACGTCAACCCCGATGACATCTTGCTCAAGGACCAGCTCGAGGCGCTGGAGAAGGAGGACGATGGATTCCGCGTCTACTACGTTCTCAACAACCCGCCCGAGGGCTGGACCGGCGGTGTCGGCTTCGTGACTCCCGATATGATCAAGGTAAGTTTGAATGCTCGGCTGTGCTATATTGGTATTAATTAAACTTTCTTATAGGACCGCCTGCCCGCCCCCGCTGCCGATGTTAAGATCTTCCTTTGCGGTCCCCCCCCCATGGTCAGCGCCATGAAGAAGTCCACCGAGGCTCTTGGATACACCAAGGCGCGCCCCGTCAGCAAGCTGGAGGACCAGGTCTTCTGCTTCTAAGGGATTCGCTGCGAATCAACAAAAGTTGCTGTTTTCGAGCTTGTCTCTGCCATTTATATGAATTGGCTTTAGAATATTGGCTGGATCCGGCCGCGAAGCTTTTTTGTTATGATTTACAATCTATAGGTGTGTGGATAGACCTCGGCCTCCAAGAGATTAGAAGGTGTTCATTAAGGCTCCAGTGCCTGAAATATTCGCCTAGATCTCGGTGTTAATACCTAGATGTTCTTAATCGACGTTAATAGCCTTGGAGCTGTATAATTTTATTTTACATATTACCCACTCTTATGTCCCTATGTGCACACGACGTTTTGCATATCAACTACATTGGTCAAGGCCAGTTTGTCCATAATCCGTAGATTATTGACGTGTTATCTACGGATTATGGACGTGTTATCATATGTTGTAAGTCTAGCATTGGACTTTCTTGTGAGGGAGAGGTATCTCTTTACGGAAGATGACATGGCGTGCATTGGTTTGTCACGGGCTGGTTGTCCCGATGTGACAAGCTCCGACAATACGAATGTGTAAAGGGGACGAGGAAAACGGGGGGGTTGAGTCTGGATTTTTACTGACGATGCTGCACTGCAAGGTTGGGGCGAATTGAGGTGCATAGCAAGACACTCCTGTCGCCCTTGCAATTGCATTGCAATCACTGCTATAGTTGCATCCGTCTCTTCATGAATTTTCCAACTAACAGACCCTCTTTCAATACCGTCGCCCTGTCATCATATAGAGAGATATATCTCGTGGCGTTTGGCCCACAGACCCGTCAAGGAGCATCTGAGATGTTTCAGGCTCTTCCTCGTATGTGAACGAGATATCGCTATCGGACTCGTAGCTGGAAATGCAGACTTTGATGCTCGATTTGGCAATATAAGGCGTGCAATAGGGACAAACAGTCTTAATCGATGACACCTAGAAGGTCTACTTCGATTGGGTGGAGCGGAACCGTTGAAACACGAGATGTCAAAAGGCGTGGATGCAAATATTACCAGTTCGCGACTCCAAATTAAGTGTATTGCATGTTGCATATTGTAATACACCATCTTCAACAATTTTACTAGGCCATGCCTTACGCATCATACCCACGAAGGTAGGCTCGCGGTTGTGTCTTTTTAACATCGTGATTATCTAACCATGTTTACTAACGGGGGGCAACCTCCCCAGGTGATGCTGCCCGCTACGGAGTCTTTAGCTACTTGTACCTAGACAGCTCCTAAAAGCTCTCAAATATTGGGCGCACGCTAGTCACATTAGCAGGAAAACTGAAGGACGTGGAGATTGTATGTTTATTCAAGTCAGCCAACCAGCACACTAAGGGTTCGAAGAAGGAGAGTCCGAAGAGGAGTCCGAAGAGGAGTCCGAAGATGAGTTCGAAGAAGGGTCTGGAATCCACCACTCCGGACGCATAATTAGATCGCAGACATTACCTCTACAGCATTCCTTACCGTCATAAAATGGCTTCCGATCAAATAGGAGCTCACGGTTGATAGTTGCATTCCCATTCAGAATTTGGACCCTGTACCACTCCGCTAGTTGTAAAGCGTCAGCAGCAGCTCCGTCTTTGGTTTCATGCATCTTGGAGACTGGTATTGAGATACACCACCGAGATCGTCGATCCCAGGGTTCAGAAGTAAGTTTGAACTTCTTCTCCCGGATACGTTCCATGATATAACAAATCAGCGCCCCATCAGTGCGAAGGTAGAAATGTTGCTTGACAGTAAAAGAGAGATTGACCCATAGGTTCTCAGGACTCTCATCCACACCCGAGCCGTGATGGATGTCAATATAATATGACATACTGATTAACCCCCGAAATCAGTTAGCTTGCTTAAGGCCTGATATCTCCAATCTGGCGACACATGTGGAATGTAACTCCGTCCACCTCTTGAGTCGCGAGTTAATGTTGTTTTGTCGGTGAAATGGACGGTGGGGACTGAAGCCCAATAAATACATGGGACTAACCGGCTATAAAACCTGGGTCCTTTGGCGAGAACAAAGGCATTATGTTCAATTCCATTGCCACGTCTTTGATGACAGTGAACCAGGAAACAAAGTTTTGAAATTCTGTTATGTGTTCATTGTTCGCTTGCAAAATCTACCAGGCCGTGTAGTCTCCGAACATCGTGTTATCCCTCCCGGAGACTAGAGGCTATGGAATTGAGATACACGAGCAAGAATCGACAAAGGTATGAGCTACAGACCTTCCTTCGTGTCCCATACGCATATTTCTACGCATACTCGTTATTCTTTTCTAGTTTAAAAGGATCGCCTTGGGTGAGCTCTAGCCTCTAGATGCAAACTGATTATTGATTTCTTGGTCTAGCGTAGCTGCTTGCTGGGCGTAATCCGGGAGGTTCACGATGATGATATCGTCGACATAAAAGAACACGATGATGCCATTCGTGCTCAGTATTTTGACAAGTTCAGCTGGACGGCCACATCACTATTTGATCGTTCTGAATAACTTTGATAAGGATAAGATAAGGATAAGATACAGATCGTTACTTGATTCACTGCCTTGGTATATTTCTTAATACCACGTGATTCACCGCCCTCTTCAACTCTGAGTCAAAAAGGAAAGAAAGAAGGAAAGGAAAAAAGGGGAAAAAAAAAAAGATTCCCGAGAGATTTCCCCCCTCTTTATGGGTCATTGTCTAAGCGGGGCTCGGCGATTCACAGCCATTTTTTCTCCGTTGCGTTGCCCCTCTAAATCTTTGACTTTTCCGACTTCGATACGCGCATTCCGTACAGGATTCTCAGTCATGTCCACAGCTTCACTTCCCGCCTCTGTTGAGGCTCTCTCGCTTCAATCAACGGCGCAGACATCTCAGTTCCCAGGATGCTTCCCGACATTGAACCCGATGGATATCTACCGCGAGCACATCGCGGAGGAGTTGAGCAAAGCCAGCGGTATCGATGCCCAGAAGATCTACCCGCGCATTGCCTGGACCAGTACTTTGGATAAGGGTGACCTTTCATTGCCGGTAGGTGGCGGGGCGGCACATGCCAAGCGCCATTCGTTCGCATGTTCCACATCATGAGGCTTTGGGCTAACAATGTCTTGTGGCATACAATTAGGTGGCTTCGCTTCAAATTAAGCAAAACCCCGTGGAGCTTGCCAAGGATCTTGTCTCCAAGTTCCCCGCCTCCGACCTTATTCACCCCCCAACCCAGCTTGGTCCTCACATTCAGTTCTTCTGCAAACGTCAGCCATTGACCAGCAATGTTCTTGGCCGTATCCTGAAGGAGAAGGCCGCCTATGGAACAAATGGCAACCAGGGTCTAAAGGACCCGTCCGACCCCTCCAAGGGCCAGAAGAAGATCATCATCGAGTTCTCGTCGCCCAACATCGCCAAGCCCTTCCACGCTGGTCATCTGCGCAGTACCATCATCGGTGGTTTCCTCGCCAATATCTACACTGTTATGGGATGGAACGTCATCAAGATGAACTACCTCGGTGACTGGGGTAAGCAGTATGGTCTTCTGGCCAACGGCTTCAAGGACCACGGCAATGAGGAAGCTCTTATCAAGGACCCTATCAACCACCTGTTCGATGTCTACGTCAAGATCAACCGTCAGGTCAGTGAGCAGGAGGGACCTATCAAGGAGCTGAAGGAACAGATCAAGACGAAGAAGGAGAAGAACGAGGATGTTGCTGAGCTCGAGGCACAGCTTGCCAAGCTTGTGGACGTGAGCGAGGACGAGAAGGCTCGTCGCTACTTCAAGAGCATGGAGGACGGTGACCCGGAGGCTCTTGCTCTCTGGCGCAAGTTCCGTGATCTCAGTATTGAGAAGTACAAGCAGACCTACGCTCGTCTTAACATTGACTTCGATGTTTACTCCGGTGAATCTCAAATCAAGTCTGAGAGCATGACCGATGCCTACAAGCTTATGGAGGAGGCCGGTGTCTCCGAGAAGTCCGAGGGTGCTGTTATTGTGGACTTCACCAAGCACGGTGCCAAGAAGCTGGGCAAGGCTATTATTATCCGCAAGGATGGTACACCTCTCTACCTTACTCGCGATATCGGTGCCATCACCGAGCGTGATAACGAGTACCACTTCGACAAGATGATCTACGTTGTTGCCGCCCAGCAGGATCTCCACCTGGCTCAGCTCTTCAAGGTCACTGAACTTATGGGCCACAAGGATCTGGCCTCCCGTTGCCAGCACATTAACTTCGGTATGGTCCGTGGTATGAGTACCCGTAAGGGTACCGTTAAGTTCTTGGATGACATCCTGCGTGATGTTGGTGATAAGATGCACGAGGTCATGAAGAAGAACGAGGTCAAGTATGCACAGGTCGAGGATCCTGAGAAGACTGCCGATATTCTGGGTATCACCTCCGTTATGGTGCAAGACATGACTGGCAAGCGGTATGTACAGAGTTTTTTTTTTTCCTTCCCTGCCTACTTTCGCCTATGTGTTTACTAATTGTATGTTTTCTTTCAGCGTTAACGGCTACGACTTCAACCTGGATGCCATGACATCGTTCGAGGGTGACACCGGCCCATACCTGCAGTACGCTCACGCTCGTCTGTGCTCCATGGCCCGCAAGTCCGAGTTGGATGTCAACGAGCTGGTCAACGCCAACTTCGATCTTTTGACCGAGCAGCATGCTGTCGACTTGGTCCGCTTGCTGGCCCAATGGCCTGACGTACTCTTGCAGACTGCCAAGACTCTCGAGCCCATCACTGTCCTCAGCTATTTGTTCCGCATGACACACATGTTGAGCTCTAGCTACGATGTGCTCAAGGTGATTGGTAGCGAGCCCGATGTCAAGCAGGCGCGTATGGCGCTGTATGCCTCGGCCCGCCAAGTGCTTAACAACGGCATGCGGGTTCTTGGTCTGAGCCCTGTTCAGCGGTTAGTCTTCCCCACCCTTGTTGAAAAAGCAATCATTGACTCATTTTTTCTAGTATGTAAATTCGGCTTATTCGCTCGATTTTACTCACTTTTCTGTGTGGTGTTTTCACACAGTATTTCTCCAAGACTGGAGTCTCTGGTATACCTTGATTTTAATTTAGTTGCATTGGGCGCCAAGAGCGGGACGAATAAAAATGGCATTGTATGCTTCTTCTTTTACCAAATCATTCTCAAGATTTCCACTTTTTTTTTCTTTTCTCTTTCTTTGCTTTTTTCAATGCCGTCTTGTTAGGGGAAAAAGTGAAGATCCCCGAGCCCGGGGTTTAGAACTCGTGCACACATACACAAATCCATGAATTCATACCAAATACCCCACCTGTCAAAGCGCCATTATTTTGTTTTTATCCGGGGACTGCTATCTAGGCTCATAGATTTTATTGAAGCCCGTTTTTTACTGGACGGTGTCTCAGGGGATCGGGGACCATAGGGATCTTATGTCAGCTCGGGCTCGAGTCCACAGGTTCCAAGGTTGAGCCCTATATTCAGCCTGAGTCGGGGACCACGGACAACAAAGGGTTTGTCTCGACCCTGGACAGGGAACAGGGATTTGTAAGTCCGTGGGTCTACGTACATGTAATATGGGTGTGTTTAAAATTATATAACATGAGCCCCCGAACCTAGACCTGGGTTGGATTCTAATTCTCTCGTATCTAACCGTTTACATTCTCTTGCAACATGGGTAATCCCTCACCCTTGAACGCATCCAGGACCCCGGACCTGGAGCAAAATGACAACGGACACTTCTTGATGAATGAGACTGTCCGGAATTTCTCCTGGCAAGGTTTAACGGTCACCGTCAAGGATCGTGAAACAAAGAGATCCCGCGATCTGCTTAATGATATTAGCGGTGATGTGCAACATGGTTTGTGTCCTTCTCCATACTCTATATCAAGACTATCATATTGACGCTAGTTATGTAGGGGAGCTCGTTGCCCTAATGGGCCCATCAGGCTGTGGCAAGACAACACTCCTCAACGTCCTTGCTCGACGTGCAGCCTCAGCTGGTGCGAAGGTTCTCGGGGAGACCTACGTGAATGATGCTGAGGTAGACTCGCGGACTTTCCAGCGGGTGACCTCGTACGTTGAGCAGGAAGATGTGTTGATCGGGTCTTTAACGGTGCAGGAGACATTGAAATTCGCGGCAGATCTTTCGTTACCCAGGTATGTCAGATAATGACCGGCCGATATCACCTCTACATCCCGATACTTACCACTTCTATCTACAAGCTGTGTATCGAAACGCCAGCGCATGGATCGGATCCGGACACTTTTGGAAGCATTTGGTATCCAGAACCAGGCAAACACGTTGGTTGGCACCCCGATTCGGAAGGGCATCAGTGGTGGTCAGAAGCGACGTTTGAGTGTGGCTAGCCAGCTTATCACCAATCCAAGGATTTTGTTCTTGGATGAGCCTACCAGTGGTCTAGATTCGGCTGCCAGCTTTGAGGTGATGTCGTATGCAAAGCAGCTTGCGCAGGCCAATAACGTATGTTCATATCAGATGGGTACCCTGCTGTTATTAACGTTGTCCATTATAGCTCGTCATCATCGCGAGTATCCATCAACCGTCAACCGCCACATTTCAGCTCTTCAATAAGCTGATGCTTCTCTCGGCCGGAAAAACATGCTATTTTGGGGCAATCTCAGCCGTGGAGACCTACTTCAGTGGCATTGGCTATCCGATCCCCGCGAATACCAATCCTGCTGAGTTTCTCTTGGGGACTGTGAGTTCTGATTTTGACAACTCGAAGGACTTGGCGGAGGGGCGACTCGAGGCCATTCAGACTGCCTGGGCAAATTCGAATGAGGCAAAACAAGTATCTGAGCGTGTACGCTCGGTAGAGAAGCTTGTCAACAAGGAGTCTATAGAAGAAACGAATCGAGCGGGAACGGTTTCGATTACCGTAGCTCTGCTGCATCGCTCATTTGTTAAGTCTTACCGCGATGTCATTGCTTATGGAATCCGGATCGCGATGTATCTTGGTAAGAATGATCATTCTCCTGTCAAAAACTACCAGAGCTAATGTGGCACAGGATTGGCTATCATGATGGGTACAGTGTGGCTACGTCTGCATCCAGCACAAGAGTCTATCCAGCCGTTTATCAACGCAATTGTGAGTCTTACATTTGTCGGACAATAAAAGGATGCCGATACTGACATAGGATATAGTTCTTTGGCTCCGCGTTCATGTCTTTCATGGCGGTAGCATATGTCCCTGCCTTCCTCGAAGACCGGGCAATTTTCACCAAAGAGCGAGCCAACGGACTATATGGCGTGACACCATTCATGGTCTCAAACTTTATCATCGGTCTTCCCTACCTGTGTATGTATTCGTCATTTTCCTGCCACAATGCCCGCTTGCTAATGTGTCCAGTTTTGATCTCTCTCCTCTTTTCAATTGTCTCATACTGGCTCTCCAATTTCCAACCAACGGCAGAAGCCTTCTTCACCTGGGTGATGTGGATATTCCTTGACCTTGTGGCGGCCGAATCCCTCGTGGTTCTCGTGACATCGATATTCCCAAACTTTGTAATCGCCTTGGCGCTTGTCGCATTCGCAAATGGACTTTGGATGAGTGTCGGAGGGTTTATGGTCACGCAAACGATCCTCAATCCGTTCTGGAAATACGTGTTTCACTATATCGATTACCAGGTATGCTGATGCACTGCTATCGATTTTATTTTCTTGTCAGAGTGATCACTAACTCGCTCGATACTTGGAATAGGCTTATGTTTTCCAGGGTATGATGGTCAATGAGTTCTCCAAACGGACTTACTCGTGTGGTGCCGATTGTCGGTGCATGTGGTCTACTGACCTAGAAGATCAATGTCTCATTCGGGGTACTGGGGTGCTAGAATCGTACGGGTACTCCACTGGCCAAACGGGGAAGTGGGCTGGAATTCTTGTGGGCATCATTGCGGGATATCGAATCCTTGGATGGGTTGCTCTCTATCTGCGCAGGAATTAGGAAGCCAGGTGGTTGGAGCCGACACGGGGATAATCTGGGTTTGATTGGGCTATTGCTACGGACTAGAGTGTGGGTTTATATTTATCTTTGTGAATATTAATTAGGCTAGATGGATATAATAGAAAAGGATCTGTTTTGAACACCATCTTTACCTCCACATGGGCAAGATTCGGGGAGCTTCACCCGGAAAGGCAGCCGCCTACTCCCCGATACCCTGAAGAGCCACAGAATCAAGCACGCTGTAGATTCCGTCGCACCCCAGTAGTCCGTTGGCCTTGAATGGCCACGGGAACACTTGACTTACATGACTATTGTCTTTCGTACGACATCAGACAATCCTAATTACCCATCGTGTGCCAAGGCCCATGAAAAAAAAAAAACGCTATCTGGAACCGACGAATAATGTCCCATACAAAGAAGAACGGGGTGCGATCAACATGCAAGTCATGTATACCGATGTACGATGTACACGAAACTTCTATAATGTTTCTGTCGCCTATCTTCCTCTACTTAAACCCCCGATAGAAACCATTCCGAGAAACGAATAGAGTTGGTCTGATTTCCCCTCATCCCCGGAGTACGACTTATCGGTAAATCACAAAAGAGCGGTGAACATCTCGAGGAGTTGATGCTCGCAGAATGAAGCAAGGGGGTTGACCTTGTTTTATTCTCCCCGAGATGAATCACTGGTGACAGACGTCAACGTGATCACACCATGAACATGCGAGTAAAGCTTGTTGGCTGTTTTGCCATGCAATCCAACTCCAGATATTTCCCGGTACGCACGGCATATTCCTACTGCTTTCCAGCGTGTCACTGAAAAGGGAAAGTGGGAAAACGATCCTGGAGCCGCATGGAGATCCTTAGTTCTATTTGGAGCGGAGCCCTTTTTTTGGTTCAATTCTTTCAGCCTCTTAGCCTGAAGATATCCACTCCGGCCCAATATAGAATTTCGATCAGATCGGAATATCCAGGGTCCAGGATGTTTTGGATGCTATCGGTTACGTATATCTTAAAGTGATCATTGCTATATATATAGTTCTAATGGTGTCATTTCCACATGTGTGGCATGAAAACTCTGCGAACCTCTTGATCTAAAGACGCAAGGGATATGAAAGGAATCCACAATGGCAATGATAGACCGTCCGTGCTGCATGTCATACCGATCTAGCCAGTTCTACTTCCCGAGCGAAGGTTCCGGCAATTTAGTTCATCACTAGTACAATCTAGTGTTTCGTGTATGATGTACATCGAAATTTGTATAAGTACATATTTTGGCTTCGTACCGATCCAGCATTGCCACAGGTTTTCCACCAGTGTGAGTCACTGTTGAGAAGTATGCAGGCGGAGAAGGGACAACGTCCAAAGATATCCTGCCACATGGACGAAGGGGCTCTGACGACGAATACCATGCAGTGCTCAGTCCCTCTTCTGCTTCTAGTGTCGTTTGACATTTGTGGTTTTTATGGTAGAAATAAACCTGAGTCACTCCACAGTGGCGATTTCTGCCGTTGGTTGTCGACATATACATCTGCCTTTGATACATACAGGTGTCTGCCTACATTGTACATACTATGTGAGTACAGCGTAGTAAGAATCACCTTTGCAGTACTGAGTTCCAAGGTTGCAGCCTGAGTTGGTGTCATCCCCACCGACTATTTCCCGTGTGTCGGATACATTGTCATTGTATTTGAGGCCCTGTATTGATCTATGTACCCGAAAATGAGAAAGGGAACGATTATAGTGATAAAATAAACCCGAGAACCGAACAGCCGAATTTTTCGAGGAACAGGTTCCTTTTGAACAGGGAAGACCCTTTTACGGCGGAGGCGATCATTGGGCCGCAAAGCCGGGTTGGGCCTTAGGTGGGATGCAGTTTAGGGAGAAATAGGAATGCACCATCTAAGAGACAAAAAGGGAAAAGAGAAAAGGGAAATAAAGATAAGAGTAAAGAACCAACCATGGATCCTAGGAATCAAAACCAAGGATTTCCCAGCGGGTCCCGAGCTTAAAAAGTAAACAAATTATACAATTATACAATTTTACATTTTACATTTTACATTTTACACAATTCCATACAGAATACAATATATAATATACTATAATTCTCTCTAGCTAGATACATAGATAAATAAAACACTGATGACGCTGTCCCCCACCTGTTTTTTTTTCCCCTTGTGTTGGGTACCGAGAGCCTCTTCGTGAAACTTTTTATTTTTTTCTTTTCCCTTTTTTTTTTTTTTCATAAACCCTGTGCCCTGTGCCTTCGGGTGTTTACTCTTCCTTTTTCCTCTTTCTCTTTCTTTTCACTATACTTCTCTCCTTTTTTTCTCTTTAGATATCTTCTCTTTCTTAGATATCAAATCACCCCTCACTTCGACTTTTTTTTTGAACTGCCCATCGACTCCACTCTCCCCACTGGGTTCTAAGACCGTCAGGCAGAGGATCCCAAATTCTCAACCCAACCTCTGCAGCTGCAGTACGCTCCACCACTCATCGTCTGCCAGAGAGGTCATTTTCTATTTTTCTTCCTTTCTTTGACCCAACGCTTCCGCCCGACTCTTAGCCTAACATCCCACTTCGATGGAGACGTTGCGATCTGAAAAGTACCATCTCGCTCTCTCCGCTTGACAGAACCCGTCGCCCTCCGCCTGCCATCGCCCGCTGCGATCGGCAGGTCCGCTTACTTGTTTGAGTGGCCCGCTTGGGTTGGGCACTGGAGAGAAGAGAAAGAAAAAAAAAAAGGAATCCATTTCGTCAGATCTACGGGGTTGAGGGGGAGAATAATATCCATTCTGACTCATCGTCGAAGGGGAGCAGTGGCTTGCTGTAAGTTGAACTTGTTCTGGAGCCCTGTGGGAGCCACCCACGTCGCCCTTGTCGGAAACGGGACCAACCCTGTTTTTTAATTTTTTTTTTCAGACACCCGATTGCCTTGCAGCCCACATAATGGCCAGTAAGGGCCCCCGGCCTGCCTGCGTCGAGGATTACGACGAAGAAGGCCACGCCATTGTACCCGACACTAGACTTTCTGCCAATATTGCTGCCAATACAGCTGCCAAAATATCCTCGAGGTTGGGAAAATTCCAGGAGCCGCTGATCGACGCCGCCAGTGACTCAGGTTATTCTAGTCGCACCGCCGCTACGGTTAATAGCACCCAATCTGGGCCGTCGGGCGGAAAAAGTCCCCCGATCCCTCTTAAGCCAGACGCCCCCAGGCGTACCAACCTCGCCAGGAAAAGTTCAACCAGAGAACGCAAGGAAAAGGAACGCTCACGACCCTCGCGCGAAGAGAAGATGGTTGGTGCCTATCCGGGCGCTGCCCATCATGCTCACGTGCACCGGTCGCCGTCCAAGTCTCGACGAGAATCTTCCTACGCTCGCCAATATCACGATAGTTACCACGAATACGGTGCTCCTCAGTACCACCAATCAACCCCGATGGACCATCGACATAGCGAATATGCCTACTACCACCAGCGTCCACCCGTCCCAGAATACTCATCGTCCCCGCACACTGCTCGATATCCAGCTGGCGTCATAGAGAATATTCATGTCAGTAACCCTGGTCGAGCTAGCCGCTCCGCTTCGTACCATACCTATCACCCAAATGGACGACCCATGAGTTTCCAAGGGGTACCACATGGAATGGGTTCAGGAATGGCATCTCCGATGTACTCCCAGCACGGATACGATCATGGCCCTCCGCCAGCCAACTCAGCATACATGCAACCATACTCGTCATCTCCATATGGACAACCTTCCTACTACGCCCCATCTGTCTCGGACTACGCCCCCTCAGATTATGTACGAGAGCGGTCCGAGTCCCGGGAGCCACGCCCTCGGTCCTCATCTATCTATGCCCCCCCTCCCCCACCCATGGATACTGGGTATGAACCATGGTATGATGAGGAGCCTATTGAACACTATTCCTCACGAGAAGCCCATGACCGCCCTCCCACAAGGCACCAGGAACATGATGAAGACTACTATCGGATGCTGCCACCCCCCAGGCCAAAGCCCAGGTCTGCCCCGCAGATTCACCAGGCGAAACGACCAGAGCGGCCAGATCTACCACGGAAAATGCCTACCTCTGCCGGTATTGTACACTCCCGTCGCTCATCCAGAGGCATGGACCGAGAGCTGGACCGCATGGACATGCCGGAACTTGCGTCTGCCTTGCCAGTGATTCAGGATCGCGCCCATCGTCGAATGTCAAGGGAAGTCCCGTTACCAGAGAGAACCCATAGCCTACGAGATACCCGACGATCAACGTCCTACCAGGATGATCGACGGAGTGCTCAGGTGGCCGTGGCGAGCTCTCGGCGGCGTAAGCAACCCCAATACTACTACGATGAACCATCTAGCGCCAGCGGCGACCTCGAAGACCGCGAGCGTGACGCCGAGAACTACCAGGCAGCCCGATCCGGCCGAACCTCAGCAGCTGCGCTACCTCTATCTGCAGAAGCCTTACTCCCTACCAAAACGTCTCACGGCAATGGGAGTGAGAGTGGTAGCCAGAAGAGTCGTAGCAGCCGCGACAGTGCCACAGCCTCACGGAAGGAAGATGACAAAAATATGACCCTCATGTTAAACGGATTCCAAATTGGATTTACATCTGAATCAGTTGCAGGGAAATCTATTAACATTCGTGCTGGAGAGACCGGGGCTGTTCGACTGAACATCGGCGGCACGCGGCCATCCAAGCAGCATGTGAACGGTACTAGCTCTGATTATACGGGCGGCTCCAGCCGCCGGGCACTTGAAGATGTGGCGCGGCGTCCCAGGGATGATAGGCGGCCTGAACGATCTCGTCGAGACAGCCGGTCAGCCTATGGGACACGCTACAACTAATCTTGTTACCCATTCTGTTAGATGTTGTTCTTTTTTTGTGTTTCTTCTCGTTTTTCATGGTTAGGTTATCTTTTTGTTGTGATTCCATCTTGTGTACGCATAGCCGTTTGTGGCTGGCCTTGTCCGTTTGTCAAAAGTTTCGATTGGTTCGGATATGTTGCGTTTTCTCTTTTTTTTTCTTCGGGATCGGGTGCTTGTGGAACAAAAAAAAAACAATGGTAATTACCTAAAGCGAGAATCTGTTGAGCGACTTGCGCAACAGGCTGGGCCTTGTCATGAAGTCTAGAGTTGCCTGTTGCTCAACAGTCTCGCTAGATTGGGAGGACTTTTTGTGTGTTATTTCATTTGCAACTGCTGTCTCGATTTTCTTACTATGTTTGTGTGCTTGGGCAAAATGGTCGGGCACGAGCCCCATGATGATGTGTTTGCTATGGCGATATGATTGTACGATTCTGATGACCTGCAATGACAAGTCTGATGTGCTTTACTTTCTGATGTCTCTTTTTGTCAGCGTTTCGTGTATAGCCTTTCTTGTTGGGTCTGTGTCTTTCTCCCGGTTACTTTGTTCGCGACTCCGAGTGGCGGAGAGAGATTATACCCATATCTGTTTACTTGTCATGTCTCAACGGGTCATCTTTTTCTTTGGCCATATCTATGATTTCATGTGTTTTGCTGGTATTTTGTCCCACTGGGAGCCTCGTAGTGTTGTTCTTGGGCTTTGTATTGATTCGGTTGATTTTCCCATTCTCGTTGATCTCCTTGTCTGTTTTATCGTTCATTGGTCTTGATGCTTTTTCCCCCTGCTTTTGCTCTTTAGTTGGTTTTGATACCCTACAAGCTGTCTGGGCCGATCACAGCTTTCGACCGTGTATGCCTCTCCCAGAGGCTTCCAGTGGGTGGTATTTGTCGGCTTGATACAATTTATCCATAATTAAACCCATTTTCTTAAAAACGCCATGTGTCAGATCTAAATAGAAATCAATGATCGACTCTTTTTATAGATCGACCCACGGGTGGCCCAACTCTACCCGTTCACTGGACCCGTGGGTGGACAGCATGTGGGGGATGATGTAAGTCGAGTTGCCCGTGACAACCAACATGTAAACACAGATAGGTCCCAGCCTCCCCTCCAACCTCCTCAATTTTGTACCGGAAGTTAAGCTGAATCATATCTGGGTTTGAATTCCCCCATCTTATCTTCAACCTCCTACTGATACCCATCCAGACACTGTGCTTCATTTTTGCTCACATTCCACACCCACGTTCTATACCCACATTCCAGCGTGTCAGAGATCTATCTTTATCTACATCTGGTGTTGACCACTTGTTTCAATGTATGTTCATATACCTCATTTTCCAATCACAAGAATCTATGAATACTAACGATCTAATAGTGAGTCCAGTCCTGAGCCAGGTGCTCTTGACCACTCTAATACTCCACCATGCCTCCATTTTGGCCGAACGGGGACTCCCCTGACTTTCCAGCGGCGGCCGTCGCCGGAATCTATGCCCGAGATGCGAGAAACAAGGACACCACTGGAACCTTAGCTTCCATCGGCACTAATACCCACAACCTCTTCCGACGAACCGACTCCGATGATTCTACCAAGCCAAAATATGGCCAGGGCACGATCGACCCGCACAGCATCAAGATGCAAGGCCTGATGGCCCTATTTGCCATCATTGGACTGGCGTTTGCCGTAGGGGGAATCTGGTTCTTCTTCTGGGCCAAGAATGGCGGGTTCGTCTGGCGCAAGGGCGACTGGGATGACTACAAGTCCACTGTTCTGCGACGAAAAGGACCTGACGGAAAGACTCTCAGTAACGCTACAGCCAGTACCGACCTCGGCGGCGGAAGTGTCGTTGGCAAGGGATACAACGACGACGGATACACGTACACAGAAGGATCATATACCGACACAGCGACGACTATTACAGAGAAGTCACGAGGCAAGAGGTTCAGAGAATCCGCCAAAGAGAAGCTCCTCCGACGCAACAGGCATGAACAGTGGGAAGGCGCAGATGATGCCGACGTGCGTGCCTACCGAGAAGAGAAGCCCGCTCGCATTGGCGGCATGAACCGGGAAGCCGATGGAACCTACAACGGCAGCGACTACGACACCTCCGCCCCGCCTACCTCCTACCAGCAGAGTGAAATGAGCCAATCTCACGATTTCGCCTACGAGCAGCCACGCCATACCCGTCGCGATCCCTCCGGCTTCTCTTTCACCCAAGGCAGCGAGGATGTTATCAGTCAAGTAACCGAAGAGCCTCGTGTCCGCGACCCGTCTACCCGCCGTCACAACCGCCGTCGTGAGCGTCGCAGCGAGGTTGCCCCATCTGGTCCACCTCCTGCGCCTTCATCTCGTACTAGCAGCCCCCGCAAGCACCGCGAACGCCGCTCCGTGGCCCAGGGCCATTTCACAGAGCCCCTGGATTTCTCGTCTGCGGGCTCCCGCTCCGAGTACCAATATTCCAACGTTGACACCGAGGATTCCGGTACCAAGAGCTACAAGCATCCAATTCCGGGCTTGACGAAGGGTTACCGCCGTGATGGACGGAGCCGTCGTCGCGATAGTCTGAGTGATAGTGAGGGCGAGACACAATACTCGTGAATTACGACTGCAGGTTGGGCTAGGCCTTGATGTACGAGATACCCAACTTCGTGTATGGGATTTTAGTTTGAACGTTCGACAATTCTTTGGGTTAGGAATCAGCGTGTTTTTTACGGCAAATGCCGATTGACTTATGGATATGGATATGGATATGGGAAATTGTTTGGGTCATGTACATAATGAACAGAATTACGATGCAGATGGATAACATCTTGATGCAATATTACTTTGCTATTATTGAACCGCCTATATTGTGGGCATGTTAAGACGTGAATTAATGTAGACTCACTCGCTCCCCATGAGCCGATGAGCGGTAAGGCCGTCCGACGCACACTTCACTGCGTACCATGCACTCCCCTCGAACCACAACCTGGACTTGAGAGATCTCTGGGAATTGCTCCTTGCATATAGTCAACCACTACCTATCCCAAATTCTCGGTATCCATCGTCAAGACAAGAACCTCGTTATTGACGACATGACTTCCTGTACGTCATCCGACTTCCAACACTACACCATTTATGCTAACCCCCGTAGCAGCACCTCAGGATCGAAGACCTCTTGTCATCTCCGGTCCTTCGGGTGCAGGGAAAGGAACCCTTATCCAAAAGCTCATTGACGCACACCCAAACACATTCGAACTAACAGTCTCCCACACAACCCGGCAACCACGTCCCGGTGAAAAAGACGGTATATCCTACCACTTTGTTTCCGTTGAGACATACAACACTCTCAAATCCAGTGGAGATTTAATAGAAGATGCAATGTACGCCGATAACTTCTACGGCACGAGTAAAGCAGCACTCGCAGAGATATTCGCAAAACGACTCATTCCTATTCTTGATATCGACATGGTCGGCGTGCAGCAGGTGACAATAAACCCTGGGTTTGAGGCCCGCTATGTTTTTATTAGGCCACAAGATCTTGGTGTGCTTGAGCAGCGGCTCAGGGGTCGAGGGACGGAGAGTGAGCAGCAGATTCAAGTTAGATTGGATCAGGCGAGAAGGGAACTTGAGTTTGCTGAGACTCAAGGTGTTTTTGATCGGGTTATTGTTAATGATGGTCTGGAAAGGGCTTATGCTGAGCTTGAGGGATTTGTTTTCGGGTTGGAGTGAGGACATGCTTGGATAGGCTATGGCGGAGTTCATTGGCAATGCGCCTATTCACGATGTTGGAACTTACTGTTTGAAATCATGGTAAGATTTAAGATTCACCCAAAGTCATCAACAATTTCAATTTTGAAATATATAGATGTATATATAGGTCAAACGCGCTGCGGCTTTATATGAGGGGAACATTGTTGGGTGGAGTAATGAAGACTATGTAGGGTTAAAGTACTATGGCCTGCCTGTATGTGAAATCAACATCAACTTGTGGTCAAGAATAGGTCAGGTCTTGCCCTATGGTTTGATTGCTACGAAAAGAGAGAGGAAATTGATGACACGCCTATAAACGCCCAATTCTACCCAAGTATACATGCACTATCTAGCTGATTGACTCCTAATATGCTCCACGCTCGCCGCACCGTCTTGAAACCAAAGCATCATCGCCATCTTGCTAATATTTTCTGACCCCCAGCCCTTGTTATCCAGATCTATCAGTTCAGGTGCAGACTTGAACCGCATAATCTCAACTCTCGAGTGCCGCAGCCGATGAAGAAGCCATCGATTCACAAAAGTGCCTTTGTTGACAGGATGTGGATGAGCGGAGGCGAAGAAAGGCGAAGAATCCTCAAATTCCGACGAATGCAGCGGATCATTATATATCTGATCCTCTGGTATTTCGGGCATGAAATGCTGTATCACCTCCTCTTCATTATCTTCTTCTTCTGCGATCCCTGCAGAGCGATTGGCATGTTCCGGGTGCGACTCAATTTTATGGCGGGCTTGTCCTAGCTCAGTCTCAAGTTTGGTTTTTTCATCTTGATATCGAAGGAGGAAGTTGAGAGCCACGCTATCGAGTGGGATACCGACTCGTTCGCGGAGCTCGCGTTGGTCAACTAGGACCAGGTATTCTGTCTTTAGCTCCGACAGCCGTTCCGCGAGTATGCGCGCCTCGCCAACCATGGCAAGGTAATCATCCACTTGGGGCAAATTTTGGTCTTCATACTCCGAGGTGTAATCCGCCGAGGAAGATTCGGTGTCTGATTTGATGGGTTGGAAGTGTGCCAACGAGCCGCCTTGATCCTTGAAGATGGTTTGCAATGTGTCCAAGCGTCTGTTGTAATCATGCTCCAGCTGGGCCAGCTCTTCTTCCTGTCTATGATACTCATTTTCAAGGATAAAATAAGACGCTGTCGCAACCTGGAGGTCGTTGATGGTGTGATTGATAGCAGCAAGATCCTCATTTACGTGTTCGGCAGTTATGAGATTCAACTTGCTCCGTAGTGCAACCCGCACATCATCTTCTTCATCCCGTTTCTGTCGAAGCGTATGCCGCATTTCCCGGATCCGAGAGCGTTTGGCTGACACATCTTCATGGGTACTTAATACTTCCCCTATAAGCTTTGCCACCTTGGCACTGGTCTCATGGACTGATTCGTGGGGTGGCGCAGGCATGCGATACCAGTTGGCTTGCTCATCTATTCCAGGGGAGTACTGAATTGGGAAGGATGCTACGGATGATTCGGTGAGAGCATCATATTCGTTCCATTGTTGGAGATTTTGTGGTGACCAGGACTCGTTTTGGGTGGCTTGATCGCCATCATCTACCATGTCTGGTCCGGTATGGCCGAATATTGGCGCTGTTGGTATCGTTATTGGAGCAAAACCACCCGAGGGAAGTGGCGATAATGGTTGCAGAGTTTCTGATGCTGTGGAACTTGATGCTCGAGCCTCTCTTTTTAACTCCAGTCGTGAAGTTGGAGCAAATGAAATATTGGGAAGGCAGACTTCACTTCTAGTGTTGGTATGGTACTCTGCCGTAAACGGCGGCTACATGGTAAGAGAGTGATGAGCCTCGAGGTTAATGCATATCAATATAGATCAACTTACCTGGGATACACGATTCCATGCCCCTGGCCAAGATGTCATTGTTAAAGGGTTTCGCAGTACCACCCGGTCACATTTCGCAAAGGAGATTTATAGACCAACACGTTCAAAAGTTGGTAAGCAAGGTTGAACAACCGAAAGAATGTTGATAAATCGGATAATTTCGAAAGATGAAATAGGGGAAGCTTTGTCCTCAAGAGTCACACGATAACGGAGGCTCTAGTGGGGTGAGGTTGAGGGCGCAGTTACTGGGGCTTTGGTGCCCAAATGAAACCTCCAATGGCCGTTAGTTCGTAAATCTGATGCATTGCATTAGCGCCCGCGCTTCACCTTTCGGTTGGTTGCCCCCCTCCTCCCTTCCGGAGCGCAATAAAACAGCAAAAGCATTCGAGGGTATATCAGCCACCAAATAAGGCATTCCCCTCAGTTAACTGAGATGTCATTGAAATTCTACTTAAGGTCTACGATCATGTGCTAGCTGCCAAAGTCTCTCTTCCGCGAGTGAGCGCTTGACAACAACCCAACTTGATGCCATACGCACTATGCATATCATGTCTATCGAAAGATCATTGATGTGAACGGACCAAGTCGCATGGGTACAGGTACTTGAGTTCCTGATGAGGGATATAGAAACCCAAGGCCTATGTTTTATCTGTCTGGTCTCCCTCTATTTGTAGTTTCTTGATCAGTTATGTAAAAGTCATGGCTGCGGACTGGGTACTTCATTGGATGCAAGTCGCCTAGATCATGTACAGCGGCAGGACCCGCTCGATTACGGCCAAACATATCCCAATGATCGAACGGATTTCAATCACCGATCTTCAGCCACCAGATACCAGCAGCTCGGCAATCATCGTGTGGATGGTGGCGTATACTCAGGTGCAGGAATTGTAGCAAACAACAAGAGCACTTTGCCTGGATGGAGCCCGGACTTGCATTATGAGGTAGCGCGAGAAACAATCAGTCGCAGAACTGGGCGTGCAACCATATCCGACCGTAGCGAAACCACCGCCTCGTCAAGAAGTGATCCATTCATTCCCCAAGTCCACATCGATGACTTGCAGGTATTGAGTCTTGGGAATCATCCAGCCTCACATATGGTGTTGCCCTATGGGGCCAGCAGTCACAGTCACCACGATGACCCCATTCTGGGGGGCGCCCAACGAAAGTATGACAAGGAGGTAGTGCGTAATATTTGATGTTGTTCTTCTTTAACTAATTAGCTAATTTTTTCATGCAGCAAAAGTCATTGGGGCCAGCATACACGATCCTCGGCAGTAACGGCGAACGTGAGACGCTGGATCTTCGTAAGCAATAGCCTGGGCACGCTTCGTGCATACCCGAACCAATAGACTGGCGATAATTCACACCAGGCTACAAGAGGCAGGGCGATCGTCCGAGATTTTTCCGAGTTGGCAGGGTTTATTCATCTTTTAAAATGTCATCTTTTAAGGCCCTGCTGATAGTTGATCCCGATCATCTAGGTCTTTTCCATGCTCTGGCAGGAGAATGCAGACTAGCATGGAACTGTACTCAGCGGGAAAGTCTCTCACTCATCACCAAGCCTTTTCACTGGGGGAGAATATCAAGAGCTCATATACAGTAGCATCCGACACATGGTAGTTGTCAAAGAACAGCGGCGCTGCTGCCGGTGTGTGTACGTGTGCACATTCGAATTCAACATAAATTGCATCGTAGCATACTATCCACCATTTTAGGCCCATCACCACTTATCACGGGCAAGGCATGGCCAAAGCCGGGATTGACCGAAGCAAACATGCTGTCGTTCATATTCGATGTGATAGACCTCGGACTGTACAGGCCGAGTCCGGGGTGACCAAAAGGCCCCTGGAGGGATCCTGTCAGGCCTGATCAGAAGCTGGACTGCATGTCTCGAATGAACTTTGGCAAGGTTTATACCGTCGAACACAATGTCAAAGTCCTCCCCGTTGGCAAGGTTACGGAAGCGTCTCGGGTGAGATTGATAGAATACGCCCAGATTGGGTTTTTCAAATGGGAATGGAACATGCGAGGCCCTGTGGAATTAGTTTACACGCGAGCTCCTTTAGTCTCGGTCTACATGGCCTGTCTAGGGATGAGTGTGTCGACAATTTATCGTTCATACCTAATTCGGTTTTGTTAGCACTGTTTCTGCTCTCTTTGATTTGTTAAGAGCGATACGTGGGATAGTATTCAACTTCTGAGGTTCTTTGATTCGATAAACATCGATTGTCATTATGAACGCTTATTCTTCGGATTCCATGACATCTGTATTCGATCTTGGAAAAGAAAGGCAACATGAGCACAATATGTGAATCTTGCTGCAGCGGGTTTCAAAATGTGTAGAGAGCTTACAAGTACTCACAGCGAGATATAGGCTGGTTTAATATATCGAGCGTGTACACTGTAGAGTTTAGCGTGCCCGTTCCGGTTAGCGCCTCCCTGCGCATTACTATCGCCGTGCGTGTTTCTCTCAGTCCTCTTCATCGCCGCACTAACTTTTCGCTGCTTTTCGCCCTTCTGCTCATCTTTTCCCTTTGTTCCTCATGTGCGCATCGCGAGTGAGGCGTTGTTGCTATTGATCCGGACCACCGAGCTTCTTCAAATATTGACCAATGATCCTAGATCAATACTTGAGCACTGAGGATCCATGGGATTGGTATCGTCCATGGGGTGTTAAATTAGCAGCAGTTTTTTGAATCAAACCCAGTTGCCTTGTTGGTCAACTTGTAAGATATTCCTGCTAGAGGATTACTCGTTGAGTGACCAAAAATTAATTCAGCGGATAGAACTGATAGACCTCAATATCACGGAGTTCATTTAGTCTGTCACGGATAACCTAATGGAAAAGCCACCGCCAGGTCGGCCATCTCACCTCGGTGCAACCAGCGGGTACAGGTGCTTGGTACGCATCCTGGCGGCACCATTGTACTCGTGCGAGTAATCCCTGATGCTACGGGGCGCTAAGCAACGGAGACAATCCTTCAGGCGGTAAATGCGCAGAGAAGACTTCACGCTGAGATGGAGTGGCCAAAATAACACGGTCCCGTTACGCGGAAGTTGGCTGTTTGGTGATCTAACTGCATCTTTTCTCTTTTTGGCATCTTTCCTCTTTTTGGTTTGGTGATGCTTTTCGGTCGGGTATTCTGCGGCGAGTGAGGATCACGGAACTAATAACAGGGTCCCCGCCCGGGTAACTAGGCCTTCACTACTAATTATACCTGCCTCTTTCGTCAGTCTTATCCATATATAGCTCTTAAGTCCACCCATAACTCATCTTTCTGGCTTGATGTCTCAACAATATCACCCTTTCTTCCTTGTTGTTCACCATGGCTTCTTCCCTGGTTGACCCGCAGGAACGCGCTCACCTAAGAGACAAGTATAAGCAAGCAGCGCGATCCATCATCCAAGAGCTCCAGTCTCGGTCCAAGCCTGCCTACACGCACACTGAGCTCGCTCAATTCCGAGTGTCCGTCCAACCCATCGATCCAGAGGATCACAAATTCACCGATTCCGAAGCTTGTCTTTTCCCGCCACTCACCCAGGAAGAGCTTAAAGAATATAAAATCGACAAAAAAACCCTTTCTAGGGACGAGCATCACTACATCACCGAATTCAAGGACACTTTCCATGACCTCACAGACGAGGTTCCAGAGCATTGCCAGATGTGGGAGAGAGCTGGTCAAATTCTATTCTATCTTGAGGTCTTCGAGTCAAAGTCCGAGAGGAAGAGTGGGAGATCGACATCCTCAATACAGGACCTTTCGCATTGGGATTATATCAAGTCAGTCTCGTTCTATACTTAATTAATAAGTCGCTAACATAGGCTATTAGGGCCGAGAACTCTTTCTATGAGACTCCAACAGGAATGTTATGCGGTGTTAAATTTGGACATTCAAAGCCTCAGGATCTTCCGAGATGAAACGCCCACTCTACTTGTCAATGGCTTGGCGATTTCGAGGATCCGAAGACCACTCGCCCTCACATCAAACTTTTGACTCTCACTGGTGCAAAGGCGAAAGAAAATGAACTACTCCATGGCGAGTTAGCACCTATTGCAAACGTCCTCTACTGCCGTCTCAAACAGCCAGAATTCGAGGATACCTCACTCTTCCCAGTACTCGTCATCTCGCTCTTTGGGACAAGGCACGGCCGTCTCCTACAGGCTAAATTCGATAACTCCGGTATTTTCTGGCTCCCTTACGAGCAACAGCAACGGCTGTTCCAGTTACTAAATCCAGGGCCTACGAAAAAGGAGAGGGCCCATGGCAAGAATGAGGAGCTTGTGAATGCTTCACTTATCAATTTCTTGCAAGCAGTCTGCGCGAAGCACTGTGATGTGGTTAGTGACTGGAATCCGGCTCGAGTGAAGTTGACCTTCGACTTCATGGAGGTCAAGATGGACAAGGAAATCGGAGAACTCGGATCGGATGTCTTTAGCTTGTCTTGCCAGGTAGATGGCTTCCTAGAGTCGAGGTCAACCTTTCGAGCCCAAGCAATTCTAGAAGCGAAAGCTCTAGGGCGCACAAACCATGAACCGAAAGTCTCGTGGCAGGAGGCCATGGAAATGGTTACAGCCCTATTGAATGAGCATCCCAAGAAGAGCCTTTCGAAGGACAGGTGAGCCTATGGATTGATGTCGCTGTATTTGAGTTTAATCTCAGTTAGTTAATTAAATCTCTTTGGGTAAATCTTATTATTAGACCCCTCGTCCGCCCCGGAGGCACAATTGGCGTGGTTTTCAAGCATATACAATCAGGTGAAAAGACCACAATTCTCCCTCTAAAAGCCACGCACAATCGTGGTCTTTTCACCCTCACCCCTTTTTACTCCATAGTTGTTTCATAGATATAGTTTCTGCCTAAGGCATTGCGCAAGTATTATGTCAACATAAAATATTCGAACTCACCGCCCGCAATAATCTCACCGCCCGACAAGATTTCCCAAAAAAGTTTCAACTTCCGCAGATTCGATCAAGCAAATGCCTAGCACAATCACAATGAAACGCAAGTTGGACGCAAACGATGTCCCATCCCCCGACGCTGCTGAGGCTGGGGACCAAGAACTCGACTTTGAAGCCCTCAATCTCGATCCTCGATTGCGCCAGGCCCTGATCAAGGAAAAGTTCACCAAACCCACTCTTGTACAGTCGAAGGCGATTCCGCTCGCGCTCGAAGGAAAAGATATTCTTGGTGAGACGAGACCCTTGAATTGATGAACCAAAGAACAGATGCTAACAGAAATAGCCCGTGCGAAAACTGGCTCTGGCAAAACCGCCGCCTATGTGCTCCCAATCCTGCAAGCCATCCTCCAGCAGAAGACTGTTCGTTCTATCTTTCCTCCTCTTCATGGTACTTCGTATATAACGTAAACTAACTGTTTATAAATAGGCCGATCCCTCATCAAAAGCCACAACCGCTCTTATCCTTGTCCCCACCCGCGAGCTTGCAGAACAGGTCCAGAAAGTGATTACGTCTTTTGCCTGCTTCTGCGGAAAGGATATTCGGTCGGTCAACTTAACACAGAAAGTGTCCGACGAAGTTCAGCGATCGATACTGGCCGATTTCCCGGATATCGTTGTGTCGACGCCTACCCGAGTTTACAGCAATGTTAACAACTCAGCTTTGTCCCTCGATAAAATCACCCATCTGGTCATCGATGAGGCGGATCTGGTCTTGTCATACGGATATGACGAGGAAATCAATGCTCTCTCCAAGGCCATCCCCCGAGGAGCACAGACATTCTTGATGAGTGCTACTCTCACCTCGGAAGTGGATACATTGAAGGATCTGTACTGCCGGAACCCTGTGATTCTTAAGCTCGAGGAGAAGGAAGAGAAGGGTGCTGGTGTCAGCCAGTTTGTCGTCCGGTAAGACAATATGCCACAACCGTTATCTAAGCAGGTGCTAACTTAACTCCCTACAGATGCGCGGAAGACGAGAAATTCCTCCTCACCTATGTTATCTTCAAGCTGCAGCTGATTAAGGGCAAGGTCATCATTTTCGTAGCAGACGTGGACCGATGCTACCGTGTGAAGCTTTTCCTCGAACAGTTCGGCCTCAAGAGCTGTGTCCTCAACTCAGAACTTCCCATCAACTCGCGAATCCACGTTGTCGAGGAATTCAATAAGGGCATCTACGATATCATTGTCGCAGCCGACGAGCAAGCAGTATTGGGAGTCACCAAATCGAAGAAGTCGCCCGAAGCCGAGGCAACCGAAGAGGAAGGAAAGGACGAGGAAGCAAAGGAAGAGATGGGAAGCAGTGAGGATGAAGAGGCAGTTGATGAAAGCGGAAAGGGAAAGAAGCCGCAAACCAAGAAGCGCCGCAAGATGACGAGCAAAGAGAAGGATTACAGCATTGCTCGTGGTATCGATTTCCAAAATGTCGCCTGCGTCCTCAACTTTGACCTCCCCACCAGCTCCAAATCCTACACTCACCGCATCGGACGTACCGGCCGTGCTGGCAAAGCAGGAATGGCTCTCTCCTTCGTTATCCCCACCGAGCAGCACGGAAAGCACCGACCCACCTCAATCCCTAGCACAAAGAACGACGAAGCCATGCTCGCTAAGATCATCAAGCGGCAAACCAAGCTCGGCCACGAAGTCAAGCCCTACCACTTTGAGATGACGCAAGTCGACGCCTTCCGTTACCGTATGACAGATGCCCTGCGCTCTGTGACCAGACTCGCAGTTCAAGAAGCACGAGGACGCGAGATTCGCCAGGAACTGATCAAGAGTGAAAAGCTCAAGCGCCATTTTGAGGAAAATCCTGAAGAATTGCGGCAACTGCGCCACGACGGCGAGCTGCGCGCTGCGCGTGTCCAGGCACATCTCAAGCATGTTCCTGATTACTTGATGCCTGCCAAGGGACGCAAGGGTCTCTCGAAGGATGGTGCCGGGTATGTTGGATTCACAAAGACGAAGCAGAATCGCATCCGCAAGGCGAGAGATCGCAATCGTGCTCGTGGAAAGTCTGGTGGGAAGGTTGATCCCCTGAAGACGTTTAATCGTTCGAAGAAATAGTGTCATAGTTTAAAATCTGCGGGCGTTTTGTCCGAATACCATTGTATAGTCAGACATGAATAAAATAGTTTCAATTTGCATTTCTGATTACATGCGTATGATGATGGTTTTTCTTCGGTCCAGTGATGTACATTGTGCATATTACATAGTGCACATATTTTCATAAGTAGACTGATAATCCCTGCCCATCCGGTAATCTGATTATCTCGTGTTCAAGGTCTTGCAGCCCTAACCCGAGCTCGATTTCGAGCCATTTCCTCCCCCGCCTTAGCTGCCGAATGTGCCTCAGTACAGCACGTGCATTTTCCAGGTAAGTTGCATAGATAGAAGAATCTGACGAGGGTATTTGCGAGGCAGGGATTCCGTGGGGCGGCACATGAGACGAGCTGTGAGAATTCGTCAAATCCAGAAAGCCAGGGCCGATCCCAAGCCATTCCACATCTCTCCAAGATCCGTTCCACTCTGGGCCAATAGCATTAGGGCTCTGTGGAAAGCCATCAGGGTCTTTCCCAACCCATTTCAAAGCTGGTAGCCATTCGCCGCAGCCCTCGAGGTCTAACCATTTCAGACAGTAGGTCGAACGAGATAACTGACGAAGGATACTCGCAGCTTCGGCCCAGTTATCGTCAAGGGCGTCTGGGGTCAAGAAGCGGGCCATTGGGCCGCGAACGCGAGTAGTGGCAGCACGTGGATTCCGGCACGGTATAGGCCAGTGGGCAAGCGAGAGATGAGTGAGTGTCGGCAAATGTGCTAGTAGGTTGAGAAGAGAAGTCCAGCTTGCAGCATTAGGTGTTGGGTGTGCCAGAGATAAGGCACGTAGTTCGGGGAAGCGTAGGGTCTGGGTAATGGCCTTGGGCATGGACGGAGCTGGAAGACGATCAAGCATAGCCTCAGCTCTGCCGTTATGCACATATTCATCCCATGAAGTTGGGACATCCTCCCCTATTTCGTGACCTGAAATACCCACAGCTAAATCTGGCGAGAGGATCATCTCGTTTGTGAGCTGCTTCAAAGTTATCCAGTTTCCTAGAGCATTTCCCAGATCCAATCTCGCGATTTTGGAGTCCGCGTCAGCGACTCTTGACTCATTGAAATCCGGGTTCTCCTCGCCAATTTGATCCTGATCCTGTCTGGTCAAAAAGAGTGGTCTCAGCCCCTTCACGTGCCCTCCGAGAGGCGAGCCTCTTGCGTAGACAGCAACATAACTCAAAAGCAATTCCTTGATATGATTTGGAAGATGGGACAGAAAGGGCCCATCGTACTCAATATGCCAACTCCAGTTCAAAGCCATAGATTTCAGCATCAGATGTACCAGGCTCCTCTGGTCCGGAAACCGCGGCCCGTGAAGGCGGGTTAGCCGGTGTATTTCCTCTTCCAAGACTCCCGACATCCGGTCCTGCAATCCGTTATCTCCCATAAAATCCATATTTCCGGAGAGCCAGCTTGCAGGCGCCGGAGGCCCGACAGTTGGTCGAGATGGTCGAACCCCGAATACCGTGCGACGAGCGCCGGGGCGAGGTCGCGGCGGTGGAGTTGCAGGGAGCTCGAGTACATCTCGAAGAGAAGGATGGACTGAACGTGCGACAACAAATGAGCGCTGCGGACGTTGAGAGCTTGAGGGATCATCATCGGGTGTGCTAGGCGTCTGTGTACGGCGGAGGTGACTGATTAAGTCGTTGACTGACGTCGCTGACGCGGAGCCCTGTACGCCAGACCTGCCATGATGACGAGACCCGGATAGCGCAAGGCTATGATGTGCTGAGTTGGCTGGCTTTGCGTGAAACTGCTGGCGCTTTTTGGGCATCGGTCGAGCTGCGGATTTGGCCGAGTAAAGTGCCCAATTACCCAAGTGTTTTCCCCCCGGGGCCGGCAACCTGTCCCGCTTTTATCGCTTATCGCCCCCACATTGATCCCATACAATCGTTACCGCCCTGGTACTGCCAAAGAGCTACCGCTTTGCCTTAGTTTGCGAGTTTAGGGCTGAAAAAAAGGTAGTAAATAACAAAAAGGAAGACTGGCAGAAAGTGAACCAATGCTCATATCTCACTTTTGCTCATAATCAAATCTATAAAATGTTATACAATCTATGCACAGGGGCTCAGATATCCCGAACCCAGGAATCGTCCTTCATATGGCCTTCACGCTTGGGACCCTCCTCCAGCCAGGTATCCACCAAGCCCTCCTTCGGGTCTTCATCAGGCAATCCGCGCGATCGGCGAATGTCCAAGACAAGGTTCCTAATCTTCAAGGTCACCTCTTTGCGCAACTCGACAGCTTCTTTGTCATTCAACAGCTCATCACTTAGGACACCCAGGGGCATGTCGCGGGAATTGGGGTAGCTCTTCTCGACCCTGGCTTTCAATTTTTGCCATCGAGATCTCATTTCCCCAAATACGACATCCGAGTCCACCTTGGGGCCAAAGGTAACGCTAACATTTTTGCCAGGCCGAGGAAGGAATCGCGGGAATTCCCGACTCTCGTGCATGACATCGTCGAAGCCCTCAATCCACATTGGAACTACATCAGGACACTCTTTGGGCTCTAAGATGAGCCGTGCGATTCCCCACTTGAAATAGCGCATGGTCTTTCGCGGTGACTGGTGAATCTTGCCTTCGGGGAAAATATGGACCCACGAATTCGAGTTGCAGGAGTACGCGGTAGGTGCGAGGTGCGAGTCCTTACCATCGGTTGTGTAGGCAACTTGGAGGTCGGAGAAAGGATCGACACAGACATTGTGCCAGCTCCAGTGCTGATGCTCAGGCGCTGCGCGGTGGTGGTCAACAGGGAAAGGACCCTTCGATAACAAGCGAATAGCCTCGGTCATAGCGGGTTGAGCTAGACCACCGAATGTAGAATGCGCTGAACGGTGAGTGGGCAGCACCTGTCCCATAGTGAAGAAAAATGACAATGGTCTGCGGGTACAATCAGTAAAACAATCCATAAAAGCATTCGGGTGGTCTTGTATATATGTACCTTGTTTGATAACAAATATCGTAGCTTCCAAAAGACCACCGCTTATTCCAAAAGCGCGAGGGCAAGATACCCCATAATAATGGGTCATCCATTCTGGTATTCCGTCGCAATGTCAGCCATCTTCACATTTGGAGTATGGATTATCTCGATCCGAGGCTGTTAGAGGCACGTACACGCTGATGTGATTGGATACTATTTTCAAATAAATCAATTAGCAACTGTACTGGTCTAATGAACTTTGTTGCGTCCCGGCATACCTGTAATTAATCCTCGTGTCCGTTGCGAAACGTCATGTCGAGAGTCTAAGAGGTCGGTGAATGCTTCTTTCCCGTGGCATTCTGCATGACAGAAAGCTGAAAGGAAACCGCGACATAGACCCGCCACTCCCCACATCGTTGTGTTGGATAAAGCCCTCCAAGGGAGGGACGGGGCCTCCGCGGTTGCGCTCGAGTCCATGATGGATGGTGTAAAGCTGCTATACACAATCCATGAACAATGAAAAGCTTTACGCAAGCCAATAATAGCTTGGAAAGGAGTATGTTCTCCGAAGAGCAAATGTAATAGACTCAAGTGTCGTTGTAGAAAATATCGCGTCCCTGGAAATCGACAGATTCCCGAAATCACATGATTTTGGTTGGGGTAACCATTCTCAGTATATAAACAGAGGTCAGCATTACTATTTTTCAATAATATGAAGTGGCCCTAATTTAATATGAATAATTAAGATTACCGCCTAAGTTATAATAACCTTTTAGTCTTCCCATATTAACTATATCACTCAGTAAATGATCCATGTTATCATTAACATTTTTATACATTCGGTGCACGGACCAACTACAACTCCCGACTCCGAGCACGATTTTCTCCCGGCTACACCCTGACAGCACCACCAACCAACGATGTTCAAATCAACCCAAGCACTCTTTGGCGGTCTTCTCTGGTGCGTATCTGGACCTTCGACCAAAGTCCCAATTATTCGAACCCAAGCTAACATTTATTCCCGAACCAATAGGAAGACCCCGTGGCGTCTCTCCTCCCCTCAAAAGGCACGACAGCGCAAGCGCCTGCGCTCCGTGGACCGGGTCGTTGACACCGTCAGCGCCGCACTCGAGCGCAATGGTCAGACCTCCAAGGCTGTGACTCGGTGGTTTGCGGAGATGCCGCGCGAGGAGGAAATGCTGCCCAAGGACAAGTACACTCTCTTCGATAAGAAGGAGAAGAGCTACCGGAAGAGCATCCACAGTATGTTCTCGTCCCACTTCTACTTCACATGTTTACACCAAATCGGTATTCATCACTGTGTGGATCGGCTGAGCTAACCACTCTCTTTACTTTCAGAGCTGCCCAAGTGGACTCGTGTCAGCCAACGTGTCAACCCTCCCGGTTTCTAAACGGATTTTTCTCCCCCGCACATGTACTATACATCCGAAACTCGACTCTGGCGGGGAACTTGTTAGAGCGAAAAGCAACATATGGACAACCGGAGTTTTGGCTTTTTGGAATTTGCAGCGCGGCCACTCTGAAGAGGATGGTGGCTTACAATGTTCCATGATTACCCCAGCGCTTAGATCAGGCTTTCAATTCAAATGCATTTTGGCAAGGATATTTCTTTTTGTTCGGTTCCGGGATTCCCGGGTCACATTAATGATATAGATACAGCGACAGACATGGTGGTAGTGAGCGTATGGTACCAGAAGTTATGGATATTTGCATGCGCTTGAAATGAATGCGGCGTGTGAAACTTGATTGGATTACATGTAAGGCAGGACAAAATGAGCACAGGGGACTTTGAAAAGCGAACGGCTCGAGAAGATCATGAGACAAGGGGGTTTGGAGCTTTCCTTTCCCCGAGATCATAGCTTGGGATCAATTTTCCGGATGCAGTACGATAACACTTGTTGACTTGAGCTGCCACTTCCTTGATCCTCCCCCGATTGACTCGGCCTTCGTGGAGGGCTTTGTGGACACGATAGCCCCGGCGGACTTGCTGCCAATCATCAAGCGTCTCTTGCCAACCTGCCCCTCCTTCATACCACGCGTTTCTCTGCGCAGTGGACATCTCAAAGCCTTGAGGCGGTTTCGGCAAAACCCAGCAGCCTGGATCGATATGGCCATCTGGCGGGTCCTCGACCGACTCATCATACAATGTAATAGTGCGAATAGGGTCTCGGATACCAGATACCTTCCGCTGCTTATTCACCGCGGCCCGCCAGGAGTCTATACGAGGAGTTTGCGCGCGTTTCTGTTTGGCCGTAGGGTATTTTGGTCTGGGACTGAAAACTGGCTCCGGGTAAGGAACGTTGAATCGTGGATCTCCCCACAACCGACGTGCATCAGTGGAAACTCTGGACACGGGATCGTAAACGAGCCATGTTTCTCTATTTAGCCAGTGGTTGGCTAGCAAGGCAAAATGGTATGGCTTTTGCCCTGGAGTGACCTCATTGAAGAGCCAAAACAGTTTTCGATCCAGCCTCTCCATCATTCTGACCTCCCAATCACTCAACTGATCGATGGCGCCTCCTGTCTTAAGCTTGATTTGATCTGCAGAGCATCGAGGGACTTCTTTTTCTGGCCTTTTCTCTTCACAGCGAGAGAGGATAGGATGTTTTGGGTCACACGTAAATCGCCATTCATCAGACAATGCTGGTCTCGCTTTCGAACTTGTCACTTTTCCTTGGAAATGACATCTTGCTGGGGCCGAATTCCATTGGACGGTTTTGGTATATGTCTGCTGTTCGCTTGAGAACAAAACTTGATTTCCAATGAGGAGTCTAGACATGAACGATGTTCTATCTTCTGAGAAACGCAAGCGCCCTTCGGTGCTATTTCGCTGTCTCTTGGCGTGACCACGAATAGACGAGCTCAGATCTGAGGCATAGCTGACCAGTAATTCGGTCCTTGGTGTCCCTGGGGGGCCAGATGAATCCCCTATGTTGTCAAATACTGCCTCCTTTGGCCCCATCTGCATTCGTGCTGACCATCTCCGGTATCTGCAGTGATTACCATGCCCATAAAGCGGCTTGGGCTTTTTTGTGTCCATCTGGCCACTCGTCTCCGCTATTTTATACTGAAAACCCTCATGTTGCACGACAGATTCGATTTGACATGAGATAGCTTGGGGCCCATCACCACGTGACCATGGGATCGATCCTCGCATCTGGAAGGATTGACGCTGTCGAGACGGTAATGATTGGAATGGCATCGGTGCGCGAGTAGCTGGCGTTGCTGCATTCTTGCGAGAATTGAACCAGGGCGGGTGATCCGAACTGGCATCGTTTGGCTGCAGTGGGTCCCTGAGAAGTTCCTCTAGAATTGAACGAGTGATAACTGGTTGGTTATTTATCAAGCTGGATTGCCGACGCAGGATTGATTTCGATATATCCTCATGCGCAGATCCCGTCGCTGGAACAGGTTGGGGAATTGAGACGCTGTCCTTCAAAGCCACATGACACCTGGGTCGCGAACAAGGATTCCAGATTTCGTCGGCAGTAGGAGAATCATCATAGCTCTTGAGGCAATCTGGTATCCAACGAAATCCTCTCTGTTCTTGGAGATGCTTTCGCTTTTCTACATCGCCAGGATCCCACCAAATCCAACTATAGTCGTCTAGGGTCGATTTCCACACCATTGACTTCCAAATTCGAGCGAGGAAGTCATGCATTGCCCTTTTATTCCTCTCGTGTGTCGGCCACGCGACCCAGCCATACCATGTGCGTGCATATCGGGTGTTGGTATTTTTGCCTGCTCTCAATAACTTGTTTCGATTGAATCGCCTGATGAACCGCCCAAACTTCCAAAATAAGACTGCGATTATGAATATCCCGACAGTTCCAACAAATAACTCAACGAATACCGTGGGGTCAATTGACTTATGAACTTTGACTGCGGTGTTTGGAGGTCGTTTGGGGGGACGCGGGATGCCAGGAACTAGAGAGTGGCTCTGTCGAGTGCCCAGTGGTGCCATTTGGTGGAATTCCGGATATAATCCCCAGAAATTGGTCAGGATATAGAGGATAAATCGTCGTCAAGACTGTCTGCTCACAGTGTTTAAATGAGAGAGGAGTTGGAGAGATGAGGAAGCAGCAAGTCATGCACAGAGCTTTCCTACCAGTTTTTACTCCGATGTTTCTCTAACTATACATTCATCACAACGACATTTTTTTCAAATTGTTTATACCTCTGATCAATGCAATGGCATATACTATATGGCTGTCGCGAAATGTTCTACAATGCTCGGGATCAGACGTCTACCTACATCGAGCTATTTGTGGCTCATCCAAGTCATCACCCATCAAGGACGAGCAAGAGCGTTGGTATTCACGATTGAACGTGAGAAGCACCGTCAGGGCCAGGCCCTTGGTTGATATCGCCAGCCAAATTGGTCGCGCTGGTTGAATAATATCCAGTACATTGTAGCTCTTCTTCCCAAGAATTGCCGTTCAAAGCATTCTCGAGCAGTCGGTCATTCTGATACGTGGAAGCATATATAACAACCATTCTTAAACTGTTCCTAGGTAACTCAACTTCATAATTTTAGACTGGTTCTTTTGGCTCTCAAACGGTGCTTGAAGGATAAAAGGTCACCAACACCCAGATGTATATTTTTATGGGGTGTTAATCTAGGGCTATAGAATACGTTCCCGTTGTCTCATGCTGTTATGAAAGTGTCTACCTCATTGGACTCTATCTCTGCTTGGGTTTGGGACAGGCATTCAAATGGAACTGCTCGTAGGGGTAAAAGGCTCCAGAATTGACATAGGATACAATGTAGTGGCTGCTCTCTAGCGAAGACTCCGCTTGGCCAGTCGCGAAGGTTGCTGATTCGAAACAATGTCCAATAGGTTAGGACTCCAAGTGTTCATCTCCCTGATTTCTCCTTTCCTTCTAGCAGGCATCACTACGAACGTTCACCTCTTTGTCGACTCGTCTGAATCCAAAAGGTCTTTTAGACGTTCCAGGCTCCCTTTGGGTGGCAAAATACCATAGCAGTGACGCTAACAAAGCCCAAAATGCAGTACGAAATCTTGAAGATCGGCAGAATCTTGCAATGCATCTCAGATTAACTCCTGAATCTTGGAAATGATCGGCGATCAAGTCGGGGGAACTCACGATCGAGCCAATTGGGAAATGACCCGATCCACAGCCACATCGATTGCGCCACTCCTTGCAATTCTAGCCACACATTAGTCACGCTCGAGCCACTTGCGGCTGGAATGGTGGCGGAACTATTGACTTTTGGTTGTCTCCTTGTTTTGCTTTTGCTTTTTGTTGGGCTTTAGGGTCTGCATATGCGTTGGGTATTATCATTTCCGGTTCTGATGGGTTTCATAGGTTCCCCGTTATACTATATGATTATCGTTCTCGTCTGGTTACGTTCGGCGCCAAAAGCTGTCTCGCAGCTGCATCCCTTCCCAGCACTTGGGATCAGACTTCGTTTTGCATGCGCCTGCGTCGCAATATTCTGCCCAACTTAGCGGCCTTTGGGCCACTAAAACCAAAGGGTATTTCTCTGGCGCTCCGCACAGTATTTGCTTCCACTGCAGCGGCGGGGCGTCAACTGATTTGAATTTTTAGATGAGATCGTCAAGACGATCGCCCAGCTCTTAAAAGATGTGATAGGATCATAGAGATGGTTCAAGCTTCTTGTGGAGCCCACCTCAGACCCCGAACCAGTTCCCTGACATACCACATGGAATATTAGGCGGGTCTCGGCCTAGCCAATGAGGCTGCATACAATTTCGTCAAAAATGGCCTACAACATCCCACGCCCCAATTTAACAGATCTTTTCTATCCACATTAGGCAACACTGTTCTGATAGATTTTGAAAAGAGAATTCTCAATACAAAACAGGCTTTCGAAATGGGATATGTCGGGGTTTCCGAGTGGCTATGATCACTCGACTCCACAAACGCCACAGTTCACCGTTGGGGTGTGGCTCGTTTGCTGGTTACCTATGCAAAGGGGCTAGATAGGAAATTCCTTTAGTCCGACTCGGGGACCATGTCAAACTAAGTCTAGGTGGAGTGGGCACTTTCATAACAAAGCTAATGGTTTTATATGTACTCCAGGTCATGATTCCATGACCAAAATGAGATACTTGCATACTAGTGGTGCGCCACATCCAAAATGAAGGGTCCAGCGGTGGCACTTGCGACTCACCAAATACCAGCCGAACAGCAAGACACCGGCTCTGCGATAGCGATATTGGGTAGAGCACCGCTGGATCCGTGCACGGAACTATTGAAAGGATGGGCCCAAGTCACTACACGATCCCCTTGAGGTCCTGTATTTACAACTCCCATTGCACATAAATGTCAGTCATGCATGCCAAGCCGTTTCCCTGTCAAATTTGTCAGGGTTCCACAGGGGGATATTGGGTCCATCAGGGTGTGCGAAATGGCTACGTTCTACAAATTATGGTAGAACCCCTGTCATGAGGGAATCCCGGGGTCGATCCTGGCACTAGCTTCAGATCTCGTGCAGTGCATCTTCGATCTCCCAGATTTCGTACTTTCTCCACACCTGAAATTTTACTAGGATGCGTACTAGTCGATCAGCCTAATTGGGAACAAAGCATGTACATAGGACTCTTGTACACACTCGCCCCACTGTTCGATCCTGTTGCCGGAACGTGACGCTGCAAGGATCCTGCATTATGCCGAGCAAACCTTTTATTGAGCTCACAAATATTATTGCTGCGGGGATGATGGTCCCTGGCCGTCCCGGCTACCTGGTCACCGACTGCCGCCTAGGCTAATCGTGTACTTTTGGACGGTGGCGACATTCCCGTGGCCCCGTCGTGCCTTAGCACATAATTGAGGTTATGGGTCCAAGTGTGTCTGGTACTGTTCTCTACGATTGCCATGAGGTATATGAAGCCCTAGGTACTGCTGTATTCGTGCTTGACCCGATTCTCTTATTCGTTATTCTCGAAGCTCAAACTTTGGTTGCCTATACCCTGATCCATCTCATCATTCTCCATATTCTTCTTGCCTCTCTCCCATCCAAGTCTTGTCGAGTTATACTTCACGGTTTTAGCTCCACGATTTCTTCACTCCCATTACTTCTCAATTGGATTGAAGCAGATCTTTCAAGCTTGAACCCCTCTTATATCAACAAGTGATCCAACGCCACTCATCTGTCTCCAAGCACCATACTGTCGCACAAAAGCGAAAATGGCCGGTCGTGAATTCACACTGTCCTTCGAGACTGCTCCCCCAATGGCCGCCCAACCTGGTTCTCCCTTCACAATTCCAGTAGTCATTGCCGTGAACCCAATTGGGACACCCGCTCAAATTGTGCAGCACCTTGTCGTGAGCGCCTCCCTCCGTGACGAAACTGGGACAGGAGCAGCCGCTGGCCTGAGCGGTAATCTCACGGCAAGTGTACGGAGCCGCACCGACACCTCAATGAGCGGATACGCAAAACTCAGCCCCCTCACTATCTCGCAGCCAGGCAAGTTTCGGCTGCGGGTGATGCTTAGCGCAGCTTCCTACAACGGTGTTGTAACGAAGGAGTATGCTGATTCGACGGTCATCCATGTGCACGCCAGTGCGGCTGCCCAACGGCCAAGTGGGTCAAATTTCCTTTGTATTTTGTCGTATTTGGGCTTTGTTCCGGGTCCCCTTTACCACTTCTGATTATCTTTCCCGTCTTTTGATCGGCCCCTCTCGTCTTCCCTTTGGGGCCAATATTTAGCCCTGCTTGCCCCTTTCGGACTCTTGCTGATACTCAAAACTTTAGCTCCCACTCAGGTGGCACGACTTCAGCAGCTTACGACCGAAAACCTGGATATCTCCGCAGCAGACATTGCCGCGTGGCAGCGTGCCTGATCGAAGGACATGTAGCGTTGTTCCCTGTTTTCCCCTGCTTCGGGAAATCTCCGGCGTTTTTTAGGTTTAACCTGTACCTGACGGTTCTTTCTTTGTTTTCTCTCTTTTTTTTTTCCACGCGGAGATTCCCACTCTGGGGAGAGTGATGAGTCCTTCTCAAACAAATGCAAATCCATCAACTAGTCTCGAGCAATCCATATCCCCTTTAACTCAAATAATTTCTTGTATACTCTCCATTGCATCCTTTGCGCTACCGACTATTCTTGGTCTCAGAATAGTTTTTCTTTACCTATTAGCGCAAACACTAACCAACGCCGAACCAAATGTTGATCTCGGCAGAACTTTTAACGTAGCTACAGATACGTTTCATCGGGGAGCTAAAACAAATCACCGTTTTCCCTCGATCCGCATGATGGAACCTGGGACTTTCTCCACTAACCTTTCTAGCGTAAGTAAGACTTCGGGATCACCGCCAGTTTCGTCAATCCCCGGCCTTGAATCCCCGTAATCGCGCAATTTATTCCCTGGGCCGCGTATTCATATCTATATTCATATCCCTTTGTCTACTTACTGGCTGGGTAGATATATAGTTGGTTGTTTTGGTTCCGAGTTCATTTACTACTGGTTCGATTATCACGATCGTGATTGTTCTTTGATAATGGCTTGCATGAGATAATCATGAGACATACTACAACGTGTTGACTTCGTAATATGGTTTGGGATATCTCTGATCATTTTCTTGTTGCAACGAGGGAACCCCTGCTGGGTGGAAATAAATAAACAGAATGGAGCCTGGTGGCGCAAGTTTAGTTAATATATTCACGGGATTTGCACAGAATGCATAAATCAGCGGGGCAAATCCACCTACATAGGTACACATTACCGAGTGTTGTGAAAAATATAGAGATTATGTACCCCAAGCAAAGTCACGTTTTTTTCATGACCGCATAGATTACAAAAAGAACAAAAGAAGCCACAAGGAAAACTTTAAGCAACGGGCCTAATCGGATTATATATCCGGCTTATACTATATGCATACTCACTAGACGGATCGACTTCCTAGCCTATTGAGGTAAGACCCACGTACATATGAGTAGCGAATGAATAATTTTGTGTGAATATTACGCCTGCGCCTAGTGCCGTGCCGCAATATGCTACAATCACAAAGCCGGTGCCTAAGTGGGGTACATGGCGCACATTTATCTGTTATCTGGTTTCCAATGGATGAATGTCGATTCTGGTCATGTGCAGCACTAGGGTAGGAAAGCCGGTCTTTATACGGAGTACTCACGAGGGTTTCGAGGCTTAACATACACTGGTCAGTGAGTGGATACCATATCCTGGCGCTATCCAAATTGCTCTGTTAAGATCTGAACAGACCCGCAACGTACTGGAAAGTCACAAGTTTCGTAAACGACAGCAGATCGTATCACGCAGTTTATCTCTATACGTTTTGACTTTCACTAAATAATAAACCTTGTGCTAAATGGATCTTCCTATGATTTCATATATAAATATTTCATTTAACGTTAATAATAGAATTGTCCTGGTTATACAGTAAGAAAGCTCTTCGATATCAGACTAGTTGCGGCTCGGGACAATCACTTCACATAATGTTCTGCAACAGACATCCCGTGTTGGGGCCCCACTCAACGATAATTCCCACTTAACGATAATTCTTCAATTATTTTAAAATCAATATTTACATGTAACCACCAGTACTATCTATATACCAATTTGCACCGATATTATCTCTTGTCACCATTGAAGCTTCATGCTCGGCCTCAGCTAAATCCCTAGCCAGTTGGGCCTACGATTGAGTTTCTAAAATCTTGGCCTATTTTGCCTACAAGCGCTTAAGCTTCTTAGAATCAATATCTTGCCTTTTCACTATCTTCCGATTCGCCTAAATTGGCGAAAGGATAGAGCCCTTCGGCCTAAAAATCGATTTCCCATTTCTTAGAGCATTTACACCCAAACTGTTAGTGCGAGCCTTTTTTTAATTCAGCTTTTAGTATATCTCCTGAGACAAAAGCGTATTTACTCCGTTAAATAAGCTTCTTAACCCGGGCAACCGTATCTAGGGGCGAATTGTAACTAAGCTCGAGAGTTCCGGAATAAAAATCCGAAGGGGGACCCTTCAGATTCGATAGCCTTTAACGTGAAAAAAATCCCGCTTTTTACACTTCCGCCTAGACTTGTCAAACTCCCATGAACCCACTCCCATGAGAAAGTCTTCGCGGTAAAAACCAATGCCAATACCGATTATCACTACCTATTAAGTAATTCATTACCTAGATAGGCTTAGGTAACCCCACGGGAGTGATGGAGGATATGGTACCAAAATTTCCTTAGTCCAATGGGAGTTGGCAAAGTCTACCGGGCCGGAAACCGGAAATTCCCCCCATAATTACTTTATTATTAAAGATCTAAGATAGGTGGTACTCGGCCCAACGCATGGCCAATTCCCGGTGGGAATTGGGCCGCACGGGTCTAATGCAAAAATCAATGAACCCACCAAATTAAACGTCTCATTTAACAACCTTCCCCTATATCTGTAGTAAATTTACTATTTACCGAATCCCCTAGTCCTGCACTTTCATCCGCACTATTTAAGTCTCCAGATTTTGACTCCTTGACCGAGAGATCCGCTTCGGCAGTAGCAGATGCAATCCACTTCTTCTTCGCTTACCGGATTAATTTCTTCCTCTCCACGCTATCCCTCACATTTATATGCCTATTTACATATAATAAGCGAGAGGGCCACCCATATTCACCCTCCGCTTACTTTTACTAGCTTCCCGCCGGCGTTTTAGATCTAAATGTTAATATTCGCATACTAAGCGCCCGTTTCTCCCATAGTAAGCGCACTAGCTGAAAATGGAGCTAATTAACGGCGTAGCTTCGTGTAACGGATAAAGATCCTTACAACATGGAGACGGAGTCACCTGACCGCATCGGTCGAGTATCGGGGACGAACTACGAAGGAATCGTCACATGGCTCCCACGTGAGCGTGGCGGTACACTTAGTCCAGGATTCCCCTGAATCCCCTCTTCCTTTGGCAAGAATTAGTCTTGGTACACATAGACAATACATTCTCCGTCCCTCTCCAAGTCATTGTATCTTACCCAGTTGACAGGCCTTACACCTGAAAACTGTATACTCTTACAACTAGGATCATCGTTCTAACCTAGTTTTTCTAATGTAGCATCTGCATTTAAAGGATAGATACCACATTTTTTAGAGTCACAGCGTATTATGCGGCTTTTAAAAGCTTAGTTCTAAACTATATGGAAGCTATTTAGAGAAAAAGTCCGATTTTTACTTTACTAAACCGCCCCACTGTACTATACCATTATTATTCTTATGAAAATAATGCTTTAGCACTTAAAACGGCATATCGTTAAGCGGTTAACATATATGCGTTATGTGTGGGATGAAATAATATAGAATAACCTGGTGGTTCTCGCAGAATTTGATAAATTTAAAGGTAAGGTGGGAGCCATGGTTATCTATAAGAAGCCTAAAACCCGTCCTTATACAGCGATTTTTAGTGCTTTCTTCGAATGATTAAAGCCATTAAACAGGCTATAGTATCGTCGGTCTAACCATTAGGTGTAGGGGGTACCTAATGGTGAAGTTTTGCATTAGACCAGTGCGGCCCAACTCCCTCAAGGAGTTGGGCCGTGCGTTGGGCCGAGTATAGGGTAAAAAGTAGATTGGGATAATAAAATGCTTGGTATAAAGTCGACGAAATCCATAGTCCGATAAAGAGCTATGCTTCGGTAGAAACCAGGGTAGTATAACCCAACCATCAGCAGAGACGTATTCAATACCGGTAATTGGCTCTTTTTGGACCACCGGTTGGATTAGTATAGTTAATACTCGGAGCGAGCACCTTTTATCGCTTTCCCTAGCCAATTTTATAGCCGGTTTTATCCCAATTGAAGATCTTGTGTGCTAAGAATGAATGCTCCTCCATAACCCGTCCCAGGTTATTAAACCAAAAGAGCAATAACGTATTTCACAAGCGAGTGACGCAGTCCGAAACATATAGCAAATGGGATAAATTACAACTTGATATTCTAACAACTGTGACGTATAGGAGTGTTCCATTGTAGGCTAATGGTGTTTACAGAATATCTAACCTTACTGTAGAGTTTAGAGAGTTTTGTATCACCTTTGATGAAAATATATATATATATATATATATATATGTATATGTATCTGGCTAAGAGATTATATAAAATTCGCTCCTTTAAATAGGGGAAGCATTGCGCAACAACGGTCTATCCGCAATATCAACATCAATCCCGAATCTAGTCTCCTTACGACCGTTATGCTCGCCAAGAAAGTTTTGACCTTCATCAGACCCACTGCGTTCCCGCGTCTCATCAGCAGAAACACTCGAAACATCAGACTGACTCCGATTCCTCTGTCTCTCCACCGCCCACCAACCCATTGAGAACGTGCGTCCCTCAAACACTCTCCGTGTTTTCAGATCCTCATCACTGCACCATTCCGAGCCATTAGGGATGGCAGAGCTCAGCATACGCGAGCCATAGAGGAAACTGGCGACAGAAGCAATGCTAGTCGGACTCTTAGGAAGGACCTTCTTGGTACGCATCACATACAGCGCTATCAGCGCGCACACAACCATGCTGCCGAGCACGCCGTCTAGGATTCGAGTTGAGATCTCGCTTTGGACGAGATACTTTCGTCTGTCGTGGAAGATTCCAGTGTAGATAGGTGCTTTCATGGTGGCGGGCTCAACAAAGTATGTCGCGTTGAACGGATCGTTGAAAGAGTCCCTCGCAGCGGTGTTGAGTAATTGGGCCATGATGATGCCCCAAACCTCGTTGACACGGTTAATCAATTTCTTCGAGTCGAGAAGCTCATCTAACGGGACGCCATTGATGCCGTTTGTAATCGCATCGAGGACCGAGTCTCTGAACCTGGGATCGGATACAAAGAGGTACGAGCTTAGTCGTGAGATTGCGGGTAATGTTTCTTTGTTTATTTTGAATGGTGTCCGAGCCGAGCCTTCAACTACCGTAGGTGGGGTGTCGGAGTCAATTGAAAACGACGGAAGCTGGAATTTTGTATCAACTTCTACCTCTTCGATGGTAGCGTTACAGTAGATATAATGGTAGATGCTGGGGGCACCATGGGGGCTATTGCCTGGATCTTTTTTTCCATACATAATAGCGTGCGTGGAGCAGTTCGAAGGTATATTGCCAGACCGTGGGCTGGAGTCTGTCAGAAAATACTCGATATCAGATTCAAGGTCCTCGCCACCGATAGGAGGGAAGCAAGGGGAGTCAATCTCGCATGCCCATCTTCCCCTTTTGACCTTGCAGCTACCGCCGTTTGCCGGGTCCGGTGCGCAAGTCAATCGGCTGCGGAGGGCGGGAATTCGGGCATTGATGAATCCCGTGTCCGGTGGTAGGTGTTCCGTGGTGGCGAGTGCGAATTGGGGGAAGACCAAATTGTGATATGTCCATTGGGGATAAGAGAGATTCAGGTTGAGTAAGAGACCGGCTGTAGGGTCAACTTGAGAGCCTTGTTGCTGCGCCTGACGTTGCATTAGGACATTTTCAATGGTAGGGTCTCCTAGGTTCCAGCGGCTGATCTGCGTGAGATTCATAGGGGATGCGAGCCCAGAGGCTTTGGTAGTAAAAAGGCCTGATACAACGATGGGGTTGATGGCCGCGAGAAGGAGGGATATTGTGGCTGCAGTTAGCGCCCACTGTCTTTTTCGTAGTGTGTCAAACACAGCGAAGGGGGCGATCTTGCGTAGCTGGTTCTCGAGGATTGATGTTTCTGGGGGAGCAAGGCCCTGGCGGAGACGAGAATAGGGCTGAATAATACGTGTGTTAAACTCGACAGATGTAAAAAGACAACGAATGATAAACATGATTAATGCCGGGACATAGGTCCAGATGTAGTGGATATATGGTGACTTCCCATCGACTGGGGTTATCCCAGCTCCACTGGTAGAGATGTGGTAGACAACTTCTAGGCCAATGATCACGGCGATAGGAAGGATAACGACAGTAATCCGAAGAAACCAAGTGGATGAAAATGGCTGCCACCAGGTAGGTGAAGAAGAGTCCTCGCCGTTACTAGACTCGAGAGGATGGGATATGGGTTGATCCTGTGGAAGAAGCATGAAAGCTCCCTTCGTATCAGTCAAGGTACTGTACTGTGTCTGGCCTAGTCTGGACTCCGCCATTTTCTCTTCTGACTTGAACTGTGATCCACCAAATGCGCCCATAAACTCTGGGCTTTGGGAAAGGATAGTAGCGACTCCTCCAATAGACCCTGTGTCTCGTGGGCACACAGCAACTGGAACAAAGAAGCATAGAAGAATGACGACAATAGCGATTAACATGACCAACAGGACTGCCATCAGCCAAAACGACATTTGACGCACAAATATTCGGTCTTCAATCAATCGCTCTGTTCCTTCAACTTGATGCGGCTCATGTCGCATAAGCTTGTTATTCACAGTCTGCTGCATGAGACACGATAGCGAATCAGTTATGGCGTCAGTAAATGCCGCCATATCTGCCCAAAGATCATCCCGCGAAGTGCCATTTGCTGCAAAGGTAAACTCGGTTCCTGGCGCATTTTCGCTCGGCAAGTATCCACCTGACGCTGATTTCCAACCACTGTACATAAGCTTTGATGCCTGTACGCCGGCAATTCCCTCTATGACAGTCAAGCTCTCCCGTCGGATATCTACCGAAATGGCATTCTCTCCAGCCTCACGCCATATCCTCACCGGGCCCCGGTATCTGGTATAGTGGGGCTTGCACACAGTAACATGAATTGGACGTTTCGCCCACCCGGTGTAGTTCATGGTGTTTTTCATTTCGAACCCTACTGATGGGGCAATAGCCGCCCAAATACGCCAATCGGCGTCCCAGTTGCTCGAATACGGCCCGAGATAGCTGGGCCCAGTGCCGTTCAACTTTTCGCCTTGACATCCTCTGAGGTCAATGTCAATACCGAACTTGGTGTCTATTTCATACATCGCACTCGGCGCGTACTTGGTTTGTTGAAAACGACATCCGTCGGGGGTTTTGTATACCGGGGTGTCTCCAGTGAATTGATCCACAGAGGATGGCTCAAAAGAGGTAGTCGCTTTCTGGCAATCAAAGGAGAGCTCGATGACTTCTACATCTGCCTGATAGTCTCGATCCGTGGGAATGGTGTCATTCCCCATTGAATATGAGTTGACTGGTTCAAAAGGGGTGTACACGTAGGTCTCGTAGATACCAACTGGGCGAGTCATATTGTGGGCCGAGAATGCCATGCAGGAAACGATGGGCTTGGCGTCAATCATATCGGGGTCATAATCGGCCCCGCTAAACTTGTTAGGCACCGTCAGGTTCACAGGACGAGGGATCAGTGCTGCGTCCAGCTCGAAGAGACCGGTTGAAAATACCGTGATGCCGTTGAGAATGAGCGATCCCGCAATGGAGAGAGATACCAGAAAGTGTTTCTGCTTGAGTGATTGATATAGTGCTACAACGTTCATTTTTGATAGGTAGTCGAGGAAGATGCTCTGTGAAGCTGGGGTGGGGCCACGGAGCATCAAATCCCATGGCATCAACTGGACAGCACGGTATTCGACTTGCGTCCAACCAGCTGTGAGAATTGTAAACACTATCTGGAAATTAGTATTTCTAACTCAAACGTGTCACAGAAGACATGTATACCTGCGGTTGGTCCATATGTCCAGAGATAGTAATATCTATCCCCGTCTGTCTTGATCCCCAGACTGTGATTTTGTCTCTGAGTGTATAAATACAGCGCGATTAGTGCAGCTAAGCATGACAAAAAGCCAATCAAAAAGATTATCATGGTCAGGCGCCGCAGAAAAAAAGGCGCCCAAAGTGAGCGAGGACTGTGGCCACCCTCATGCGCGCTTTCTTCTTTCGCAACAGGAGAATAGCCGCCCGGCAGGTTGAGGTTCGTGGAATGTTCTGCCGACATATTGAAGATAACGAGGCTCAGGTAACATTCATAGATCAAGCATAACAAAACATACCCTATTACAAGAACATTATGTCTTGTAAGGGGAATAGGAAGAGTCAAGTAAAAAGTAAAAAGGAAAAGAACAATTTAGGCGAAAAGAGAGGATATTAGTGAATGGGCTGTGTTGAGAGGCTTATGTGAGTAGGGGGCCAGGGCTTCCTGATTTAGTATTGTCGGGCAAACATGCAGCTTTCGTCTTGGCATCGTTTTCCATTGGACCAAAATTTTCATTACGCGCTGCCTGAAGGCTATGTGAAAATGAGGGTCCACTGTACTCCGTAGTTTACGAATATATAGTCTCATGGTTCATGGTAGGGTGAAGTGATCTATATAATTATAGAACTAGAAAAGTATGCAATGCTTGAATTCCATAGGGAGAAGGTATCCCGATTTTTGAATTTTCTAAACATAGGAACTAGTCGCCTCCGATTTGATTGGCCTAGGGGTCTGTAGTAAGCCCTGTGAATCTTGAACAATGTGAATAGCGGTGGGAATCAGGATAATGTGATCCAACATTTCGGCCAGGGCTAGTTGTTTTAATCCTTGAGCATAAAGGGAAATTTGTTTCATTGTTCAGCAAGTATCGAGTGTCTGCCTTTATAGTTGTGGGTTACTCTACGGCCAAAGTACTCGGTACTTGGCTCACCTAAATACTACAAGGGATCAGACTATGGTTAGAGATATAAATATTTAGCAAAAATTGCCTTGACCTATTTGGACTTTCTAGGTCATGAAGTAATAAAATTCAACGCCTCCCGCTGTCATGGGACAATCTGCCGTCATCGATCACATCAGGTTAGAAGATCATTCCCCGTGGACATGGCAAGAGATTTTATTTCAGTAATCCCTCAAATCATGGAAATTTAGAAGGGTGCTTCACAGGGCACCTAAGGGATCATTCTTCCCTTTGCGTTTCCTTAATCTGCACCTGAATTTTAACCTTCCAGGTTCCTGACATTTTAATCTGCGCCTGGGTCATTTGCACCCGCAGAGGAGTCTTCGGTCACCCGGGAAAGCCTCTTAAGTAATGCACGGCTCTACACGTGCAGACTAATAGATTGCCCGTGGGCTTTATAAAGTGGTGTTTATCCTTATTTATTTGTCTCAGTGTCTTCTCACTTTAAATATACATCATGAATACAGGATAAATTTCGTTATCATCTCGTTTCCACGCAACCTCTTCCTCATCCTCTTTAATATGCGACGTACCCGTCACCACAGAAGATACCACACATGGCCCCAGTGTGGTTCAGAGCTGTGCATGTGTGAGCCCTGTGGGCTGAAAATCCATGTATCCAACACAGTTGGTGGCCCCGCAGGCTATACCTACATCCCACTGTATTTACAAGCCACGGCGGGTCCACTGCCCACAAAAGAGTTGCTTTGCGATGATATGGGAATGCCCGAACTCTCTCGTCAACCGAAACGAATGCCTCAGCTCTGGTCCCGATCGTCCGTGGGACGAAGCAATCAGGGCTCGCTGTCGGGGCCATCGGGACAGACAAGACAGGTTTACCGGAGGGTTCTGCGTCGGATTACACGTCGGCCGCCCCTGAACAAGACTCGATCTTTGTTTGTTGTCCCTTCAAATAAGAAAACCGATGATTCACATCTAATGTCTGGGTTGGTACCACCCGAGGTGTTGGATGAGCAGACAGTTTTCTCCAACACAGACAGAGAGAGGTCATCTGTGTCTCGATCTGACACAGCAGGATTTATGGGTGAGAAACGACATCGGAGGCGTCATTCTGAACAGCCACACGCATGGAGAAAACCGAGTGCTACATTGTGGACACTTCAAGAATACGAAGAATGATTTGCCCTGATAGTATTTTTTGGACAGTTTACTGGCGTTATATTGCACCCTTTGTTTGGACATGTTGTTCAGTTTACTGTTTGAGTTTTGCAGATGGAGATCTGAGCGAATTCATAAATGTTCAACGGCACGAAAGAAAATCTCCTTAATTAGTGCCCATTGATAGGCCAAAAGACCCAGTTAATCACCGGTTAGGCCTGGTAAAGGCCTGAATATTATCATGTAAAAGTAAAACTCAACACAAAATCCAGACTGAAGCTTTCGGCTCATCAATGAACACACTTGTTTCAGTATGTCCTAAAAGGATTCCCAAATCCAAAGATAGTAACTATAGAAAAGCCACAATCTGCTTGTCGCAATATTGTATAAACGCCGCTGCAACCCCGGTACCCCCTTCTTCCTTTCCTTTCATAGCTCGCAACAAGTCATCCCTTGGACACGGATGTATACGTCCCCAGGGCAGGATATATTTCCCTCCATCCTCAATTTTCAGATCACCAGTAAAGGCCGACCAGATTGCAGTATATGCTCCAAACCTAGGGCCATAAAGCAGCGGCCCAAGGATAAAACGAACATAAGCTTGACTATGACGCATGATGTTTGTCTTGATATTTCCTGGGTTTTGCACCAAGCTTAATATCCCATCTGTGCCAATCTGACTTGCGAGGGAATGTGCCAAAAACCAATTTCCCACTTTGGTGTTGAAGTAATAGCGTGATTTGTCGGCGCCTTTTTGTAATAATTCTGCAAGCTCTATCCCGGTCTCAAGCGCGAATGCATCAACAACAATCGATGCTGTCCAGATAACCCGCACACTAGATATGGACGAAGTTTCAGCCGTGCGCCGTAGTATTGGCAAGAGAAGTTGAGTGAAAAGATGTGGCCCGAGACAATTAGTTGCCAATTGCAGATCGTGGCCCTGGGGCGAAGTCCCTCCAGGAGGGTTAGAGACACCAGCGTTGTTGAATAAGACATCCAGACGAGATTCAGCCGTGGTGAATATCTTCACTGCAGGCTTTATGGTTGTCAGGTCATGTAGCGATAGAGGGAGGAAAATGATGTTTCCCTCTATGTTTCCCTCGGCGGAGGTCGGCGTACACAAGCGTTTGATCTTTGCAATCGCATCCAATGCCTTTTCTTCAGACCGACCGGCAAGATATACCGTTCCTCCTACTCGATAAAGAATTCTGCATAGCTCGAAGCCAACTCCTGAAGAGCCTCCAGTTACGATGAACACTTTGCCATTCTGACTGGGGAGATTGACTTCAGTCAGAGTAGGTGGGGGTGGGAAAAACTGCGACCAGGTAACTCCCATACTTTTGAACTGTTGATTCAATTGCTCTATCGGTCATGGAAGCTTGGGCAGATGTAAAAGAATCAGTAGAAAGGAAGAAGAAATACAGTTTCCCGCCGAACATCTTGCTCCATCTCGCGCTCGATATTCACCGAAAAGATACCATCTCATATGTACACTGTTCATATATCACCATCTTGCTTGCCCTAACATCATCATGATTTACTCTCAAATCCCCGAATTATCCTACTTATGCAAAGAACTCTTGTAATAAGTCTCCCAGTTGGCACAAGTTGATTCAAAATCAGCCGAAACAGAGGCCACCAGCTCCGGTATCTCCGCCTGGTGCTTTACAAATTGCAGCGCTAAGCTCTAGCTTACATGCCAGGCAATGTGGCAATGCATGAGCCAAGATCTGGAAATGTGTCAGTGAATTCGCAAAAAAAGACATAGAGTTTCTTGCATACCCCGGATTATCGTTCTCGAATACAATGACGAGATACCCAGAACCGGCTATTATGGCTGTATCCCATCGAGGTGGATTCTTGGGGTTTAGCTTGGTTGGGGGGGTATAGAGTCCAAACCCTTGCGCTAGGATATGGAAGTCGTGCCCATGGAGATGGAAGGGGTGGTAGGCATTGACGAAGCCCAAACCTTGAATGACCCAGTATGTGCACTGGTACCATTTCGTCATCTCAAGACAGCATGTGAATCTAGCACATTTTTCAAACCCATGGTCTTATCTGCGGGAATCTCATATATGTTATAATCAGTCGGGAAGATCGACTCATTGCGATAGATGAGAAGATCGGTCGGTCGCTGCCAAACAATTTCCAATTCCTGAGTGTTAATTGCCCAGTGATGGACAAGATCAGTCTCATAGACTCATCCATATTCAAGTTGTTCTGTCTGTCCACTTTACCGACGCTTTCTTGATATAAGGAACTAGGCTGGCGTAGGGCTCGTCGCCACAGGAATTTGTGATTGATGAACATTGCTTCGCTGTCAGATCAGACTGACTAGCACCATCATCGCGAATGATACCTTTGATATCATTCCTCTCAATTGAGATCCCATTCCATGCGGTCTGGTATATCGCGCGTATCCAATAGTCACCGAAGTCTTGGTTTGCTTCAAATATATCATATCGTTAACCAGAAGCGAGAATCACACTAGTGGTTTGATCGGGTACAATAGGCACTAAGTCGGCTGCAATAACTGTGAGATCGTGGCCGTCAATAGAAAGTTTCATCCATGAATCTGTCTGGGCGGCGAGCAATCGAAGACGATATTTCTTGCCCTTCTGTATCACGGTCTCTGGGTGTTTGCCTGTCCCCAGACACCCTAAATTCATATCCCTTGCAGCGCTATTCACTTTGACTCTAGTCTGACACTCTACTTTTTATCTCTCGTCCACATACAACTCCATCATCGATGATCTGGAAAGGGTATCACTAGCCACAATCTTCCTGGGAATCTCAGCTAAATTCCTACAGTTTGATGTATGTCCTTAAGACAATAATTTAGGGATAAAGTTAATGACTCAGGTCTGGAGACCGAGAAAAACAGGTTAAAAAAATTAGAGGGAAAAAAATGAACCTCGATGGCCATAAGCCGCAAACCCGTAATCCGGCTTTCGACCTCTCACTTCACCCTCGCAATTCGCAATGCCGATGCCTTGACCTCGCCGGGATTCATTTATATATCATTTGGCTCGCAATCGCGCACATTAGCCCCACCCGTCTCACCTCATGGCTACCAACTATTTGGTCATTGTCACTACACATGTCCAATATATATATCCCGAGTAAATATTTGAATGTGTTTGGTATATTCTGACAAAGCCCACAGCACGACGATCTCACATTAACCTTTCATATTTCGTGACCCACTTGGGTGCAGCGGAAATACCATTGCCCTTAGTTAAATAAGGACGCAATATTTACTTGATAATATCAGAGATTTATACAAGCCGTTCTGCCCGAGGGATCGAAGGTAAACGAGATGTGGTCATGATTTGTGTGTAAATCTATAACCAAATCTCTCTCGAAGATAGCTTGTTCCACACTAGTTGACATCATTACAAGCTACCCCACTGGAGAAATTCGTCAATCCTTCGATGCATAATATCCGTTTATGTACTAGCTGAGCTCACGGACCTGTGGGGGCCAGGTGACTCAGACATCCCGTGTGTCGAGGCCGGCTAGCACGGCATTCTAGAAGGGCGCTAGAAGGAAAGCTAGCGGATTCTATTGGAAAAGAAGAAAATTGGAGCACGGGGATGTCTGAAATCTTGTTTAATGATAACGCGGAGAATAACCCACCGACCCACTTGGGCGTAACACCGAGAAGAATCATGAAAGATTTCCAAGTATTATGGTGAATGGTGTAGTCCGCATAGTACGACCGGAAAGTGCAGATTGTGGACGTGTCAATTTCAAGTCAGACAGGTCAAGCGGTGAATCTGCGGGGTCCAGAGAGCGGGAAGAGGAGGCTCCAAGGCAGAAACAATTGCTGATTGGCTGGTGGACGGGCGATAGGGCACTTGGGCCCTCCCAAACCTTCCAATCTCACCGACAACTAACAATCACACTAAACCTTACCAGTGGATACTCCGACGTTCTCTTTTCAATTGCTATTGGTTGATATCTGGGCCGGTCCGTTTCCCAGTCATGTGCTATGAAGCTGATTGGTTGTGTCTCTAGGGGCGTTCCTTTGTCCCGTATTTGACTACATCATAGCTGCAATTGTGTACGTTGTGCCGCATTTTGGTTGGTTGCCCTACAGAGCCCCCGACGATCATAACCCGGAAATTACTTTGCCTTGAACATAAATAAGACCCTTCTCGCAGGCTTCTTCATTTCTATTTTTCATCCTCTACTCCATATCCTGATGCACACTCCGTCCAACATCTATCCCAAGAGATCACTCTCCCAAACATCAGCTACTTCAAGCTCCAGCCAGTTCTCTCAAGAGAAGCACTCCAAACTATCGAACCCACTCTCAAAGCTCTTCCGGCCCAATACTCCTGTATCAATCGATATCCCCAAGAACCAAGATACAATGTCACAGCCTCGAGATATCCCGCAGAGATCCAAAACTTCATACTTCCCAGACCAGGGCTACACCGCAACCAGCCCCACCCAGATGTCCAGCATGGGCTCACCCCAATCCCCAAAGGTGGACTGCCCCAAGCGTGCATCTACTCCCACCCGCAAGAACAGCGATGACTACAAACGCTACAGTGGAACTGTCAACCACTACGGTCGTCACTCCAATGACTGGCTATTCGGGGGCTTTAGTGTTCGCGAAACTGTTCGTGATAGCCTCGATAAGTTCCGCAGCCAGGACAAGGAGAGCTGAATACATTCATACCTCTGCTATCTCGAATACGTCCAACATGTGAATCTTCTATCGGATCTCCTCTGTCTGGCTTACCCCCAATTCACATCCATCTTACGGTGACACCCGCCCCGGGCATTTGGCGAGAATCAATACCTGATCTGCCATGATTTGAAAGCTGTCTTGCTTCAAGGTCCTGGAACCGAGTGTGCTCCGCCCTATAGGGGTGTGACTGCACTCGGGTGTCAGCTCCCCCGAGCGCTGTGTGTGCGTTAGCAAATCAGCTATGACACTACTTTGCTTTCAGCTCGAATCGCAGCCCGCGATTTATGCCCAGATTTGAACTGTGCCGATCGCTGCTTGTGTCTCCTCTCTCGGTTTTGAATATCTTATTATTCCTGTCTTGTCTTAAGTCGCGTTGGATTTGATATTATCTCATTGTCTGCACAATTTTGCGTCCTATCCCGTTATACGATCGATTTCAGTACAAACGGAACAGATATTGAACTTTATCAAATGAAATTTATATACCATAAAGGGTGCCATTGCAGGGTAAAAGAACTGTAATTTAGTAGTGTTTAAAGTGTGTGTTATTATGTTTGCGGATGTCCCCAATTGTTCAAAAAATAAATGGCTGAAGAATGACTGGCTCATGACGTTTATATGGGCTAATATTTCCATCAACCAGCCAATGGTCGAGTTAACTCGACCACATCTTCCTTGGTCTAGTGGTGATGATTTCCGCTTGTCATTAATACCGATAAGCGCGGGAGACCGGGGTTCGATTCCCCGAGGGAGAGATTTCTTTTTGCCTTCTTTTGGTCCAAGCTGGTATCATTTCTTTTTTTTTTTAAAGTTATTGAGATAGTAAATCTCTATCTGCAGTGCAAATGTTGTTCTTTGAACACATGGATACATGGATTTCGTCAATGTTCAGGAATATATATTTCGAAGGCAAGAACGAAAAAACCAGAAGTGACCATATTATCAGCAAAATAATATGAATTAAACATGGGAATAATTTCTATTTATATAGAACCGACGCAAAATTGATTTTGACCATTAATGCTGACTTATTATAGAGGCCCAAACTTCCATGGAACCCGAGGTCGGGAAGGAATAACCATATTTTCAGTAACGGGGCAGGAAAAAAGACACATCCCGATTGACATTTTATGCTGGCAGAAGTGTGCGAAGTGAGAGTGAGAGACCAATGGGCTCGTGCTTTGGCCACGGGAGCCTAGATGAGGCTAAGTGTGCGATCTTTATTTAAGGGATCGCGTCTGCCCCTTTTGACTCCTAGCCCGACAATCCGCTACACCATGGATTTCTTGTCTTCTCTTCGTAGAGCAATGCCTGGATCGTTCGAGGACAATGGATTCCTCGACCAGGAAGAGCCCCTTCCTCCGCTCCACGTGGCAGTTGATGCGGAAGATGTGGACCTGGTGCGCCAATTAGCTGCCACTGCGGACCCTGTCGATCTGGCTGCGGCTCTCTGTCGATCTTGCGAATATGGTAAAATCACCAGCACCCACGCTCTGCTCGAGAGCGGCCGATGTGATGCCAACACGCCTGTGAATGGAGACACACCTTTATTCTTGGCCGCGAAAAAGGTCCAGTTAGCCGTAGTCAAATTTCTGCTTCAGCATGGGGCCGATGTCACGATCAAATCCAAGAACAAGCGGTCTGGAGACAAACCCCCAGCTTTTACCCCCCTCCACGGAGTGGTGGACAGTCTGGCTCCCTACCAAAAGGTGGAAGATCTGACCCGCTACGAAGAGCTGATGCAGGTGCTGCTGGATGCTGGGTGCGACATCAATGCGCAGGATGCCAATGGACATACCGCGCTGCTGCTTTCAGTACACAAGGAGACTGTCCTTGCTCCATTTCTCTTGCAGCATGGAGCGGACCCGAACATCGCAGAGTACCGGGGAGGCACGTCTATGCATTTCCTCCACCACCCCTTGGACCACCCAGAGTTGTTCAAGGGCCTTATGGCGGGTGGAGGCCGCCTGGATATTATTCGAGATGGAAATGGTCAAACCCCGCTGCATGCCTATGCGTCTAAGTGTCAACTGGGCGATCTCTCGCTGTTCCAGCCCTTTGTGTCGGATTGGACGATCACTGACGGCAAGGGCAACACGCTTCTTCATACCGCCGCCGCGAAACATCGTTGTGGGAGCGACACTATAGTGGAATTGCTGAAGCTTGGAATTGATCCCAACCAGAGGAACCATGAAGGGCAACAGGCTATCCACTTGGTGGAGGGCTCGGAGCAAAACATCCAGGATGTGTTGGACATTCTTTGCGCAGCTGGTGCAGATCTCGAGGCTAGAGACTATCGCGGATGTACGCTTCTCACCAAGGCCATGCATGGCAACCCACAGTGGAATTGTCGCGAGCTTCTTCCCTACCTAATCAGCCGTGGAGCCAACATCAACGCGCAGGATTATAAAGGCAACGGGGTACTATCTTATCTGATCAAACCATACCATTTCCGATCCGAGTACTTGGAATTTCTACTGTCTCTTGGAGCAGACCCAAACATGGTAAATTACGAAGGAGACACGCTCATGCATCATCTCGCGGCCAATTTTGCTACCATCGACCAAGATACGGCTCTTTTAGCCATGATTCAACTTGTCAAAATGGGCAACTCCCCCACGATTCCCAATTTCCGTGGTCGGACACCTCTGCATCTGTTGTGCAGCCAATCTTCAGATAATTTGTTCGCGGCTACCGCACAGGGAGGCAAGTGTGCTATCGACCTACTTCTAGATGTGGGTTTCGGTATCGCTCTAAATATGAGTGATCACCAGGGAATTCGACCTATCCACCTTGCTGCTACGGTTTCGGAGCACCTGGTCGGTAAATTACTCGCTCGGGGCGCTGATGCTACATTTTCAACAAAGGATGGCCGCAATCTGTTGCATATTGCGTCAGCCGCGCGCCAAAGTAACTCTGTTGGACTAATCTTGGACCACTGCGACACCAAGAAGCTGGATATAATGCTCAATGCACGCTCGAAAGACGGGAGAACGCCACTGCATGTGGCCTGCCGCTCTGGAAGACTGGAGACAGTTAATCTTCTCCTTGCATATGGAGCAGATGTCAACGTCGAGGACAAGCAAAACCGTACCCCTCTAGATGCATGCGCCGAGTCCATCGCGGAAGACCAGCTTTGGCAGGGGGCTGACGACCAAGAAAACATAATGAACACGTACTCCGCGGCAGGGATTTTGGCAGAAGATAACCATCGGCCGACACAGCCCACATCGAAGATGGAAACGAAGCACCACAAGACCAAAGGCTTGGGGTGGAAAGGAGAAATCACATCTGAAAGTTCAACAATCGGAATTGGACGAATCGTACGAGCATTGGCATCCCATGGAGCCTTGGCATATGAAAAGAAATTTGGCACCGGTCCTATGTACTACGCGGTTGAAGAAGGAAATGAGGAAATGACCGTGGAGTTGGACAGGTTATCACGAGAAATGAGCCTTCAGATTCAAGGTCACCACAGCATGACTGAATACTATCTGCTGCGCTCTCAGCGCCTCCCAGACATCCTCCAAGAACGATTCAAGGAATACATCTCTGAACATAATGTGCTCCCAATGATCTTGCTCGGCAACCACGAGGAGGTTGCACAGGCGGTGGAGAAAATCGCCTCCGTTATTGAGGATAGATCCTGCATGCCGGCGGTTATGACCTCTCTCGCGAGATGGGGATTTCCAGAGCTATTTGGGCGAATCGGCAGTGCGATATCAGGCAACTGGATCAACGGCGATGGCACAAATTTTCGGGACCAAAGGCTGACGCCGCCTCTTCTGACGGCTGCTCAGCGAGTCCTTCCTAACTTGGATGTTATTCGGGTCATGGTCGAGACGTTCAACACAGATGTTAACATCAGATTTGAAGAAGATATGGTTGATAAACCCCAAATAAGCTACCAGACAAGGATGGCACTGAACCGACATTACAAACCTGGTGATACGATCCTCCATCAACTGGCCCATGGTACGCACTGGTGGTACAAAGGAGCCATTCGGTACCTCCTGGAACATGGTGCTGACCCCAACGCCCAAAACAAACAGGGCAAGACGCCTTTATGCAATGCAGTTTCACGGGGGGAGCTGGGGGGTCACCACCAGCTCGAAATCACGAGAATATTGCTGGAGGGCGGCGCCGACCCTAACATAGCTGCAACGTGTGGTTATACCCCGCTGGCCATGTCGGCGCACGACACCGAGTTGTTCCAATTACTGATCGACCATGGAGCATATCCCTCTCAGGACCACCCCATGGAACTCTTCGCTGCGTTGTCCAGTTTCAACAAAGACGTGGCCTCCGCTCTCTTAGAAATGGATTTGAACTGCAACACGACGGTGTTATCCAATGCGCAGCCACATTGGCACACTCACCGTGTCCAAAGGGTCCCGGCAAACCACGGGCTCAAGCTGAGCCCTCTTCTTTACATCTCAATGCTACCATTTAACGAAGCCAACTGCCGCGACCACGCCTGCAGGATGATTGAATTTCTCCTAGAACGCGGGACAGATCCCTTCCTGCCTTGCGACAAGAACCAAGTGATTCTACACGAAATTTTCGCCAGCGGAGGAATCATCCAACCATGGCTAGATATGCCCGATCTTGACATAGAACGACGCGACCCCGCAGGAAGAACGCTGCTGCTGGCAGCGGCGAACTCTACGACTGGAACCCACTCGTATGCCTGCACACTTACGGCATACCCATTCCGAAGCGGGGACCTTGCACCAGCGTCCTGGAAGGAGGGTGACCCTACGCGTGCAATGGCCCTGTATCAACGGGGAGCGGATTTGAGTGCAGTAGATGACGAGAGAAACAATGTATTGCATTATCTGGCTGATTTTGACTGCTTTAATGATCACTTCGCGTCGGTTGAGGTTCGACGGACTCTGAAATTGTTCGTGGATAAAGCCCCCGAGTTGGTACACCAGACCAATGTGCATGGGCAGACGCCTTGGTCGATAGCGGCGGACAAGCATCTCGTGGAGCTCATGGAGATCTTGCGGACAAATAATGTGCGCGCGGAATGATAGTCGATGAATGGCATTCATTCGAAATATACGAGACCATCAATTCAAAACTGGTTATACAAGATGGTTTGGATATGTTGCCATACAGTCTCTCCAATGGGATGTGATATGGGAATAGCATACGTCATACACATTCTATCATAATATAATCTTAAGTTACTGATTTCGGGTATATTTTCCAAGGCACTCTTAGCGCGCATTTGCAAGGAGTCTCTGTGTATTTCATTATATAGTTAGAGGGTACATATATGGATTATCATAAAATCTAGAAGAGATACGAGCTTCAAAACTTGACTATACACAAGTTCTTTGATGCAAAGAAATCCTATTTTATATGTCAATGCTGGAGCAAATGATCCACATGTTCAATATATTTCCCTGAATAGAGAGTATCCTCTAGAACTGCGAAAGATCCCCGGAACACACAATGTCCGGGTGCCAGGGATATCCGGAAGTCCAAGCTCTAGCCTATGACGTCAACCCCCACACTTTGTCAACACGGGGTTTCGCGCTAGTCCGACGTCCACATGTCCGCAACCCAGATAGTAAGCAATAGCTTCTCTCTACTTGAACTTTCACAACTGATGAATATGAGTGGCTCATTTCCGGGACACTTGGACGATGAGAGCTATGATCACACCCAAACCCCAGAGGAGATTGGCCCCCTCCAGTCACTGAGCCCGAGACCGCTACCCAACACTCAATGGAAGGCATCATCGCGGATAGTAGATGAGACACTTGCCCAGGGTCTGTCTAATGAACATTTATGGATGCTGATCCGCCGATTTGACAAGGTTAGTGTGGTCTCCACCTCCAGTGTCGAGAATAAGCGCTGACATGTGACCAGCAAATCTACCATGTGAAAGCGGTTCATGATACCGCTGCTCTGAACTTGGATCTGAATCGCACCGAAAATGAGCAGTTTCCGCCCGAAAAGCTGCGCATGACGCTTGAGAGATTTTATACCTCTGTGGTTGTCGGAGTGACAGAGCTTTTCCGCCATATCACTCGCCTGAGATCATGGAAGGAACCGGCGAGAACAACAATGTTTTGCGCAGTATGTAGATCACGAACATTCCGGCTTTCTACAGAATGTTAATAATTTATAGGGCTATTTTGTTGCTTGGGCGGTGGACCTCTTGGTTCCAACTATTTGCGGCCTTGTCGTAGCCTTGATAATGGTTCCGCCTGTTCGGCTGGTACTATTCCCTGATTTGGCAAAGACAGAAGGCTCAAATGGAAGCAGTTCTACAGAGGGACAAGTTCAATCCGAGGATAGCCTCACTGGTGCCCCGGAAACCCACAAGGGTGAAGCCGCTGAACAAGAAGCCAAAAATCTGGTTGACAGCTTTGCCACTATTGCCATGGAAAGTGCAGCGGCAAAATATGGTCAAGCAGTTACAGAGGACGCCCCCGATAGACCTGCGCTTATTGAAGGCTTAGAAGCCGCCGAGGCTGCAGCCGGAACCCCGACGGGCGATTCCCCTGAAGACAAGACTAAGAAGCCCATGAAAAAGAAGGTAGCACACGCGACCGATAATATCATGCGTATTCTGAGTGATATCACTGATATCTACGAGAAATTTGCCAAGTGAGTCCATTCCAGAAAGATATATGAACACGCAATATTGACGATATAACAGCATCCTTTCTCCAACACCTCCGTTCTTTTTGGTCACATCTAGACTCCGCCTTGCGAGCATTTTTACCCTGGTGTCTGTTATTGTACCTTTCACATCGAGTTATTGGATCATCAAGATTGTGGGCTTCGCACTTGGACTGGGCTTCTTCGGGGACCCAGTATTCGCCTACACCCTTGATCTGCTGAACGCAAAAGTCCCAAACTGGAAAGATCATCTCGATTTGCAGAAGTATGATAACACTCGTTTTTTTAGCCTTTTAATGCCTTGTTAACCCGATATACAGGACACTTTTGGCTGGCGTTCCCACAAATGCACAGCTCACTTTGACCCTGCTCCGAATTGGCGAGATCAATTCTGCGCCACTACCACCCGCCCCCTCCCATGATGATGACGAGCCGGTTTGGCCCATCCGCCGCAAAAAGTCACAGGCAGCGAGCTCTACAGACCTCAGTACGCAGGGATCATCTGTAGACCTCCAGTCGACGAACTCGACCACATCGCTTCCGGAAACAAAGGTGCCGAAGAAGAAATTTGTATTCAAGCTCTTCAGATTCTTCCGCCGCACAATTGCTACGGCAATTAAGGGTCATATTGCCTTTGACCGAGCCATGGCCATTGCAGGGTCAGCACATACCAAGAATCTGATTGGAATGCTGCAAAATGGACACTTTGCTGCCGCTGCAACACAGTTCGGGCCCTTGAAGTTCGATGCGAAGTTCGAACGCAAAAGAGGCGCGGCGGTTATTGACTCGTCAAAGGAGCCTCCGATCTTATATTTCACCACATATGCATCCGCCGGACTGGATGATCTACGCATCGAAAGTAGGAAGAAGGGCTCTGTTCTGTTTCAGATTCCTGTCACCGAAATCAAAGAGCTGAAGAAGACAGAGGGACTCGGATGGAAGGGAAAATTAATTGTTGAATTGACAGCTGGGAGCAAGGAGGCTGCAGATGGGCTGGTTGTCAGCGGTGCTGAGCTGGGCCAATCTTACCATCTCACTGGCATGAGGTCAAGAAATCAACTGTTCAATCGGTTGATTGCTATTGATGCACAGTTCTGGGAAAGTCGTTGATACCTAGGTATTTAGCCCTATTATATTGAATCTGGTCTATTTGTACTACTAAATATAAGCCTATGCAGATTGACAAACACTATGTGCAGCTCCATAGGATTCTGGAATGAAACCTCAGGCACCAGAGTAGCAAAGTCACCTTAAATATGACGTCACTACCATATATCCCATCCCAGCAGATATGGCCGAGTAGAATGCTCCCGCGATATTCTCACTAATCTGGGTGCATGAAGCCTTTAAAGGCTAAAATACATCTCACACTCTAGAGCACGAGCAATCCAGCAAGTCTTGCCACTGTTAGCAAGTCTTGCCACTGTTTCTACCAACTTTGTCAAACAAACTGTGATGAACATTGTCGCCAAATATTGCCCCACATGCATGGCCGTTTTTTCATCTATGAAATCATGAGATTATGCAGCTTTTCTCAGAGTGCTATCAGAAAAAATAAACTAATGTCATTGGAAAGAGAGGGAGTTTTGGAATTTGTTCGTTATCTGAGTAGAAGAGACACTATTTATTATAGGAACTTCGGCAATTGCTGCCCTTGTAATACAGCTAGAAACTCGTCTCGGTCTATGATCCATTCCGATATAGATTAGCACAATAAAAAGAGTTAAGCATTAGTTCAAAAAGGGGAGAGGCCGACTAACCTTTGCTTGTTTGAAATGAGATTGACACGGTACCCTCTTTGTTTTTGATATTAGAGGTCTTAGGACTCCGAGCCATAACATTCATCATGTCTAGTGTCGTACCACGCAAGTATGGAAGACGCGGAAAGATGACCCGGCTATTCTCTTTTGAGGAATCGATGAACTCTGACGGAACAGTCATGGTAAGCCACTTGTCTGGCACGGAGTCGTCCCACCGTGCTGCAAGTTGGAAAGTCGTTCCCCGACGCCATAGTTGGATATCAGCGTTACCCTTGCCGGACATTTGGAACCCAAAGAGGGTATTGCCTTTTGTTGATAGGGAGTGGATACGCCGAGAGTAGAGGAGTTCGTACAGAGGAGAGAGGGAGCTGAGGAATGAGCGGGCTTCAAGGTCATTGCCAAACTCGATGGTTATTTGGCTGAATTTCTTATCACAATAGGAGAACATGACAGGGCTTTCTGGATGATAGAGCTGATCGACGTGAGTTGAGAGGTAGTCTGTGCAGTAGGCGCGCGGGAAATGGATGCTGAACGAGGAGTGATCGTATGAATAGTCGGCATCACGATAAATATAGTACAGGTCTGAATATCGCCATGATGCACGGGTCCGGAATAATAGTACAGCTTTGTATTGCTTGTGCTCAGTGCCAGCATCAACCACGTTGTAGATGAGACCGGAGCCACTAGACCACGACCAGGAAAACTCCGGACGCAAGTTCATTTCTAGGACGGCTTTTTCAAAATATTCCGCCTCGTGATGTGAGCTGAATTGTAGACCGACACCGATATTTGGAGCAGTGTTATCGTACACGTAGGAATGCAAGGTATTGTAATTCCCATCGGTCTTATCAGATCGTGCCTGACATGTGTCAGACCACTGTAAGAGCACCTGGAGGGACATTTTCCCTCGGTTGATCTGAACTACACTAAGAGGCATAAAAAGCTCCATAGTCCCCGGGGACTTCTCAGCAGCGGAGGACGTGATCACCATGCGCCGGATAGACCGCCAGGCTTCCCCGAAAGACCGTTCCAGAATGCGCACCTCGCAGGATTTCACCACGACAGATGGGTTCATTGATTTCATGGTCGGCGTGTTCAACTGCTCGAATATATCAACTGAGGCCTTGAAAATAACGCTCTCCGTAAATTCGGTTGCATCGACGGGCTCTCTCTGCCATACGGCGTCAAAGTAAGCTTTTGGAATATTGATGAATTGTGCGAGATCCCCATCAAATTGAAAAGAGATCGAAATGCTCATATTCTCAAATTTGAATGGCACAGGTTCTGAGACTCGAGCGCTAGGGAAGCCGGTCAAAGCAGCATTTGATAAGTAAACAAGGGGCGGTAGATCATCCAGTACAACTAGCATCATCGGTTAACTCCATGAGAGGGCATTGTGAGAATCATCACTTACAGTCCCGTTCAAGACACAAAGTGCCACTTTGGTTGCAAAAAACTATTTTGGGTTCGCTTTCACCTTCTCGTGTTACCAACAAGAGCATGTAGGGAGTGCCCTTGGCGCGCACGCGGGACCTTTTGCCCCCGATGCTGGCGTTGACAAAGGTGCGGTATAGGACCTTTTCATGCTCGCTACCTGCATCCTCTAGATCGACGGCAATCCAGCGCAGATTATCTAAGCCAAGGTCTAGATCAATGCCGCCATCCCATATTTCCTCCGGCTGCATGGACTCCCAAATGGCATGGTTTTGGGCGTGTAAAGTCGACGGTTCGGGGATGTCGATGGAGGTATATTGGGAAAGCTCTTCGTTGATACCCTATATCGAATTAGTCACAGTTTGGAGCAAACAATAAGAAGGCACCGACTTCAGAAAGCTCGAGAATTGACTTGCGATCCTCATCAACCAAAATACCAGAAGAAACATCTTCCTCTAGAGCAATATCGTACAGAATGTATGAAGCCTTGAGGAGATCAAGATAAGCTTGGTGACTCGTTGATCTTGATTCCATGGAGGGACTCAGACTACTACGGGCACTGACATAGCTATGTCTGTTGCAATTTGCTAAAGTTGCGCGCGCCTTGCCAAGTCGTTAGTAGTTATTGTATCCCGTTAGTTTTAGACGGAGAGCTCACTTTTAACAACCACCAAGTCGCCACGCGAAGCCAGTCTCTTGTGATTAGCCTCGTGATCTGCAACCCTTCATTCACTGATGCCTCGAATATTTTTAACGTTTCTGCAGTTGGTCTGTGTAGTTGGTTCTGCGGCTCAAAACGTATTGGCCTTGGGATATGCTCCTGGTGTCGCACATCACGAACATGTTGCATAGCCGACGTCACGGCCTCGATAACCTGAGGATTACCATAGCCAGCATCTGAGTAGGATCGACTGTGATGTACAACTTGTTTCTCCGTCAAGTCGGGGTCATTCGCCCATATTCCACCATCGATTGCCCGACCGTCAATGAAGCCGCCAAAGAGAAGCTGCTCACTGCGCATTCGCCTATGATTTATTCGGGCCTGAGGTAGGAATGGTGAGGTACTCAAGGATAACCAAGAAGTCCGCGAGTTAACGTCGAGGAGCGAATCATCGGATTCAGTTATCGCCGATTCGGAGGATATGGATGCATGTCTGACCTTGCTGCTGCTCCCCATAGAGCTCCTATTATTAGCCAGCTCCGCCATTCTGGAACGAACCTCCTTGATTATATTGATTTCGCACTCTTCTTCGTTGTTAGCTGGTAGTTCCACCACGCCTAGGCCTGGGCTCATCGGTGAGACAACGGAGTCTGTATCCCGAACAGGTGACGCCTCTGTGCTGAGAACAATCTGTTTATCCTCTTCGATCGCCAGAACCATTCTTTTTTCTATACGAACAAGCGAGTCACTAAAACAATTAGACCATGAGCCATGAAATTGGAACAAGTAAAGCACACTCACTTCCCCATAGAATTTATACATAGGCTCAGATTGCAAGCGTGCACCATGATATTAGATCTGATATCCTCAATCTGATTTCGTTGCGCCGCCCATCTAATCTTTTGCCAGAAGCCATTGCAATCACCAGTCTCAAAGCTTTTGAACGGGTTAAGGAGTTCTTTCAATCGCTGTAGCGTCGCGAGACAAGTACCGAGCGATCGTTCTAATGTCTGTTTGCGATCCTTATCCATCTTCTCGAAGAAGGATGCATTGGAACACAACTTGTCACCGAAGGTGCACAAAATGCCATGTAACGAGCCCAGCTCAGTTATCAGCTTCTGGAATCCTTCGGGAGCGCCCTTCGCGAGGAGATGGCATTGGTTGTATACATCCCGTGTCACCTTGGCGAGGGCGGAGATATCGAGAACCCCGAGACTTGGAGGCATTTTTTACGACAAAATGTACCGCCAATGAGACTAAATAGTTTGAGAGAGCACGAACAAGAAGCTGTGAGAGGAGCAATCTTCTCCACAGTCATGATCCGCGGCTTTAGGTAAACGGAATGCCGTTCAACGGGTCCGAATGAGGTGGGCAGTAAAATATAACAAACTGTTGCCCAGAGACAAGCCGAAGAACGCTTAGCTACCACTGTAATGGCAGCGAAAGAGGAATTTTCGAGGGATAAACCGCCAAGTGTTCCGAGCCAATACGGAGATCGGGGTTGATCCCACTATTTGAGCACCCAACCACAAGTACTTTTTTTTTCCCAGTGAGCCATTCACACGGTATGTACATTGAGCGGCTGTATCAGTGGTATGAATGGATATGGTGGAGAATGCAGACGGTCTTTCCAAAACACATGTTCCTTTGATAACGCGCCACTAGGCCGTGTGTGCTGCAGGCAAACAAAGAAGTGTAGAAAATGTGGCGTTAGTAATTACAAGCCAAACGGGAACTATACAGCGATAGATAGCCTAGAGAATTATAAGATTTCCTAGATTTGTGTTTTCCATCATGGGTTGGACGTAAAGTTGAACGCGTAGAGACTGTTTACTTATTCTCCTGTCGAGGTAGTTCAAGTGAATTCGAACATTGCAATATACGGTGAGCTGTAAGGGTGCAAGGGGGCTACTGAGCTTTCAAGTGACAAGTGGCACAAGCGAACCCTCAAATGATATATATCATAAACTACAGAGTACATACTTCGTACTCATAGAACAAAGGTTGCACTTCGCGACCCACTTATGCCTGAGGCGTCAACTTTTGATCGTCGCATCAGCCCCTAAATTTTCATTTTGTTTCTTACCAGACACTTCATCCATCAATTAATTCAAAGCATGAAACACATTTAAAAAGTGTTATTTCCACCAGACATCTACAAGATCGCCCTTCATAGACCCCCGCGATCTCCAACTAATCAAATCCACCATGGCGTCCACCGCGTCCTTCAGTTTGGACGCGCCGACAGTCCTCTGTATCGTATTCTCACTTTCTATGATGCCAATTGCCCAACTCCTGAGCAAGAAACTTGTTCCAGCCCATAGGACACGCGATCGCATCCTCTTCTTCTGGCACGCCTATGATGCCCTCACCCACATCTTCATCGAAGGCTCCTGGCTCTTTGAATGCTTCTTCAGCTACATCACTGTCGCTGAAAATCATAACGTGGAGCCCTTCTTCCTCAACGACCCAACTCGTATCTATGGTCCAGCCTACGGGACTAGACCCAGCTCGCGTCTGTGGCAGGAATATGCAAAGGCTGACCGCCGCTGGGCTGTCGCCGATTTGACCGTCCTCTCGCTGGAGTTATTGACCGTCTTCCTCGGTGGCCCGGCTGCGATATACATCTGTTATCTGCTGTGCCGGTCGTCGAATGAGAAGATCAGTGCCAAGTCACGTGGTGGGGTTAAGGCGAAGTTGTGGCTGGTTTCAACCATGCTTGCTACGGCGGAGTTGTACGGTGGATTTATGACCTTTGCGCCGGAGTGGCTGACGGGAAGCACCCAACTGGCTACCGAGGATCCGGTTTACCTTTGGCTGTACTTGTTCTTCTTCAACACCCTCTGGGTCTTTATTCCTCTGTGGGTGTTGTGGGAGGCGGCGAAAGAGCTACGCGGTGCCTTTGTGGCAGCGGAGCCTCAGAATGAGAGGAAGACACAGTGAGCTCGGTCTGAGTATGGGTGTTATTGGAACACCTAGATGAACTTGTGCCTGAGGTTCTCTTTCTTTTTTTCGCCGGAAATCTTGATTTGTTGATATCCATCAGGTACAAAATAAAGCTGGCAAAATGTCGCCACGTTTGTCAAGGATTGTGATAGGGATAGATCGATTGCAATAAAATCTTCAATTGTCTCTCTCAAGCATAACTCGGCTTCCAAGGTTATCATCGATACTTGAATGTCCTACTCCAACTCTTAGCGTAGTTATTTTGTTGCCTTATCTTCGCTATACTGGAATAGGAATTTCATAACAGTCGACGGGAGCACGAGAAATCCCATCGGATTTTACGCAATGGGTACCGCAGTCTCGTACTCGAAGACAGGACTCGCTTTGATGGAGCTACTATCGCCTAAGTCCGAGAGCATTTCGAAGACTTCATGGATAACGAGCCCAGAGCTCTTAACCAGTTCCGCTGGTGTCTGATTATCGATGATGGGGGCTTTGAGATCATTTATCAGCTTCCCCGAGCTTACTGCGACAGATACAACAGAGGAAAATGGCGCCTGGGTAACAGTTGTTGAACCCAAATACGAGCTAGTTACTCAATACGAGGGCATGCGCATCCATCTCAGCCGAATTTGCCGGCTCGCGCGTTTGGGAGACGTGGTGCCGATGTCTGAAATGTGTACCATTTCTGAAGGTATTTCCTGGTACAATGGCTTCTGAAAGAGCCGGGCACTATACGGAATGGCCTCATGGGGTTTGAATGGACGCTATTTATCTATATCCTAAACCTGATATTCGTACTGGAGAAGCCTTGTTCTTGAATGATTGGCTTTTTTATTGCTCCGACGCTACGTTATCCATGCATGAATGTATTTTCCTCAAATTGACCCGTATCTATCAGAGACCTATGTACCCACCTTCTTGTGTCGACTTATCTAAATCATCCTCGATAATTCATGTTATATAGGGTATTATAATGAAATCCCACTAGCATAAGTTCCAAGTGTAGGCTAAGCCGAGGCAAACTGCTTCTTCAGCTCTTCATTCTGATCACCATCACTTTCTCTTTATTGACGTGCGTCCTGTAGTCAGGAGCCCTGTCTCCTCAGATGAACCTCTACCTCTCTTTCATGCTCGAATAGTCCTGTATATTATTAGTAATGGTGGAATCTCAGCCAGATTGAAGAGTTGCTCGGGAACCTTGACAGAACCGCCAGCAAGGATTTGTACTTCCATCATCGAATTCCTTCTTGGATTGCTTATGGTCGGGAGTCTCTTTGATTACAGTCTGAGAGAGTTGTGTGAAGTTGTTCTCATGTGCAATTTTAAAATACAGTCACTGGTCTTATCCAAAAAGCCAGACCGAATGAGTGCTTTGTCGAGATGTATAATGTCATGCGATGTTTACTATCAATCTCTGTGGCCAACTAGGCAGAATTTCGACGATGTAAGCAATCGTGATGGCGACTAAGCGACTGGTGTATTTATGGAATAGGTGGTGCAGACATTTTTAGTCCATTCTCCTGCACCTTCCATCAACCACACACACAACCAACCGCCTTTTGCTTCATCTAATCCGGCTTTTCTTTTTTCTTCCATCGCCTCAACAAATCCCATCCCACAAACATGGCATTTTGTTTACCCATCGCTCTTCTCCCACTCATTTATCCAGCCCCTCCTACCCCAAAGACGGAGTTCCAGAATCTCCCCGCAGAAATCAAGCTTCTCATCGTTGACCAGCTTGATCATGACACCTTGGCCCTGAGCCGCGTGGCTGCCTGTAATAGGGAGCTATATGACATGGCAATGCCTGCGTTATATGCCCATGTCTCTTTGGGGGCTCCGCCTCATTACCGGATTTGGCCTGGTTTGGCATGGCCCGCTGATCGTCGTTCTGTGCGATGCCTCTATTCCATGAATTACTTGCAATTTCTTATGTTGAATATGCAGATCGAACGCTTTCTTCTTACGGTCCTCCGCAAACCCCACCTTGCCCGACTTGTCAAGTCCCTGGATTTGACTGACCTATACGACCTTTGCGACGCCCATAGGCAGATTAGTACCCAACCATTGAGAACACAGCTCACTCTTGCACCTCTCAGTCCAGAAGACCATCGAATAATCAGGATTGCTGGCATGAAATTACCATTGAAATCAACAGTCAGGGACTCGATGCACAGAGCCCTTGAGCCCAATGTACCGCGGTCAGACGCGTTACTAGCTGTTCTTCTGGGATATCTGCCTTCCCTAGAACGTCTTGAGATTCCGATGGAGAGTGATGACCCACCACGCGATCCTGCCACCACAGACTGGAGCCTGATTGAACGCGTTTTGATCTGTATCGCCGGTATACGTTCGCGACACAACACTGGGAATGAAAACGCCGCTACACTGTCTAAGCTCACTTACCTAAAAGCTGAAGTGGACGGAACCTTCCCCTCCGCTGACGTTGACTGGCTTATGGTGCTTCTTCGAATTCCCACGTTGACCCATGTATTCGGCACCAAATGGACTAACCAACCAGAATGGTGGAGGCCTGTACATCGCGAAGTCCCTCGCCTCGTTCACCTTGAACTTCGTGATTGCACTTTTGATGCCAATAACCTTCGAAGTCTCCTGAAATTACCACAAAAGTTGGAAACATTCATCTACGAACGGGGGTGGACAAAGAGGAAAGACTGGATCTTGAAATCTGCAGACCTCAGCCAAGCGCTTCAATACCCGTCTCAGACCCTGGCCTATCTTGAACTGTCATTCAATCGAAGTGCCCGAAAGGTATACGCAGACTTGTATCTTCAACCTCTCAACCTAACGGGGCTTCGTCATTTGAAGAGATTGCGAATATCAGCCGGATATCTTGTCCAGACCCAAGCAAAGATGTCAGATTTCGAAGGTCGCTACTGGATGTTATTTGACCAGCACGGGGCATACAACAGTGCAGAGCCTTTGTACAAGCTACTTCCCCAGTCACTTGAGGAGCTGCACGTCTTCCAATTTAACGATGGGCTCGATCTTATCCTCGTGTGTAAAAAGCTATGCGAAAGTCTCCATGGTAGAGCAGTGTCTACTCTACTGGAGGATCACCAATTTCAACACCTCAAGGATATCAAACTCGAGGCCCCCTTTGAGGACAAAGGCGTGTTCTTATTCCACACACTCTCCGAAGTCACAAACCGGGCTGGAGTGAAGTTGACAACAATTGAAAACTCCGCCGATCACGTCAAATCCTGGTTTACCGGGGATACAATAGTAGCATGTGCAGACAAAAAGATTGACTGGGGTTTTGACGGCGAGATTCAGTGGGCACATCCATTCACTCGGCGAGGGGAGGTGAATTACGACCTCAATTAAATGCTTGAGTCTGAGGCCGGGGGAATTTCACCCGGGATAAGTGGATATTGAAAGGAGAGGCAAAGGGTGAATACTGGTTTCCCTTTCCATGTATGTAGCGAGTACAGCAATGAAGAAATTGTCGGAGTAATCCGTATTGTGAAATGTAGTCCAATCAATGGTATTCAACTCTCTGTATTTCTGTATCCACTATTCTGGCAATTTATACTATTCCAATTACAAAAGAAAGATTAATGCATACTTGGGATTAATCAATCCTCCGGTATGCTGGCGTGACTGCGTCGACAGAAATTGACTGCCTTATGGCCTGATCACGGACCACATGATCGACATGACGTAATCCCTCCGCATGAGGTCGACCTCGGCTTTGATCCAAGAGATCACGTTCGTAGCTTGAGAATCTTCCCACTGTCTGTATTATTATGATTGTGAATTATCTTTAAACTATACCACTCATGCCTACATTCTAGTTGAAACAGATATCAGAGGTTGAGGGGCTCGATCCGCAGAATAACAAACATCAATTCTCTAGAACTGGATTATTTTTGAACTCCAGCACCAGATTTCGAATACGCCCGAGCAGAGCCATGGCTGAATACAAGCTATCCTATGAGTCCCAACTGGTGTGTGGTGTAAACCAGCTCGCTTTGTTCTATCTCCTTACACATCCCCATCGACATTGACATCCATATCCCTACACTGCATCAGACCATACTAACATGCTCACGCAATCAAGGACGTATACCACCCCTCCTACCGCTATGAAGCCCATGACCCACGCGATTGGGAATCTGCCGCTCTCCGTGGACCAGCCCTCCCAGCTCTAGGGAATGCAACTGCCGGCGCAGTGGGCGCAGCCATCTCCAATGTTGTCGTCTATCCCCTCAATGTTATCGTCGCCCGCCTACAGACCCAGAAACAGAAAAACAGCAGCTCGAAGGAGAAACCTGACGACCAGAATGATGACGAAGGGTATACAAGCGTGGTGGATGCTGCCCGCAAGATATATGCACAGCAAGGAGCCGCTGGCTTCTACCCTGGTCTGGCGCAAGATACGTGGAAGACCGTCGCGGATTCATTCCTTTTCTTCCTTGCATACAGCGCTATCCGCCAGAAGAGGATAGTCGCACATGTAGGTGTAGAGCGAGCCGCCAAGAGCAAAAATATAGTCCTTCCGATAATTGACGAACTTGCCGTCGGTATCTTGGCTGGCTCGTTTGCTAAGTTATTCACCACGCCGCTGTCGAATATCGTCGCGCGCAAGCAAACATCTGCGGCACACAGGGCTGGGAATACGAAGAACATGTCAACAAGTGATATCGCAGCTCGCATCCGCGCTGAGAAGGGTATTCTAGGCTTTTGGTCCGGATACTCGGCCACCCTGATACTCACCCTGAATCCGTCTCTCACATTCTTCCTCAATGAATTCCTAAAACGGGCCCTCCTACCACGCTCAAAGCGCGACAAACCGCCTCCCGCTTTGACCTTCCTGTTGGCGGCTCTGAGCAAAGTCGCTGCCTCGTCAATCACATATCCCTTCTCCCTCGCAAAAACCAGAGCTCAGGTAATGAGCTCGGACTCGAAGTCTAAGTGTGGAACTGGACAGAAGGGTCAGACCTCCCTTTTCGCCTCTCTCACCCCCGAAATACTTTCTACAGTCGCCACCATCGCCCGCACGGATGGTATACCAGGGCTCTACGCCGGCCTTCAGGGTGAAGTGCTAAAAGGATTTTTCTCGCACGGCTTTACAATGCTCGCAAAAGACGCCGTGTACGCTTTTATAGTCAAGAGCTACTATCTCCTTCTGATGCTGAGACGTCGCTATCCCACGCCCGATGAACTTATTCAGCGTGCCCGCGAACAGGCGGAGGAGTATACAGAGATCGCACGGGCAGGAGCGCGTGACCTAGCAGAGAGGACGAGGGAAGGCGCCGAGGAGCTACTAGACACTCATTCCGGCGGCAACGCTATTGATATGTCATCAAACTCTGCAGGTGCTGCTGATGCTGCCAGAAGTGCGAATAATGTGAAGGGTCCTGCTCCTTCGGTTTCTGATGAAATTAATGAGACGGCTGAGCTGGTTGGTGATTACGTTGAAGATGAAGCGGCCGAGTGGAAAAGCCTTTATCATTGGTTTTGGACGAAGGATCATGGCACACATCGGGATTGATTTAAGGGTTAAAAGATAGTGGTGTTTATATATTTATGCATTCATGTTACGATCCCTTGTTTTGCCATTAAAGTACATAATAGCATTTGAGATATACGTGAGGAACATGTACCTTCGCATTGGTACCTCTGACTAATTTATCAGTGTCCGCTGACTCCTCTCCGCTACACCTAATTGGGACCCCGGGATTACCATATAAGGGCTAGCCACCGATAGCGCTTGCCCCAAGGCAACATTGGCGTTTATATTGGAAGCGCATTGGTTAACACCTAAGGATTATCCAGCTTATATTTTCTATAAAGTTGTCGATGATTCCCAGGTATATTCAGACACCAATTTCTGATTTTACAATATGACAACCCAAGTCCTCGGACGACTTTCCAAGTCCAGCCGGCTCGTCTACCGAGCTGCAGAGAACTCCGAAGAGGACATTGCATTCTTGCACGACCAAATTATCAACGATGAGACTATTCAAACAATGAGCACTGGGCGTCTTCCACGCCCGTCTCACAAGAAGTCTGCAGAGGAGTTCATCAAAAGTATCCAAGAATCCCTGCTAGGAGTGATTATATGTCTTCCTCAAAATTCCCCCGACTCAGAGACGGAATGCTCGACTGAGACTCAAACCTTGAACCCACCTCAAAATTCCAAGCCAGTCCCAATTGGCCATATCAGCCTCTTCAGCTTGACTGGATCGAGTTACTCCCATCATCGCAATGCAATGATAGGAATTTCACTTGTGGACGGGTATCGGGGAAAAGGATACGGCGGAGAAGCTATTAATTGGGCACTGGACTGGGGATTTCAGCATGCTGGACTGCATAGAATCACCATAGGTGGATTTTCGTTCAACCATAATGCGTTGAAACTTTACAGGAAGCTTGGATTTGTGGATGAAGGTCGCGAACGTGAGGCGCTATACCATCGCCGGGCTTGGCATGATATTGTCAATTTGTCTATGCTGGAGCATGAGTGGGAGGTGTTGAGAGGGATAGTTCCGGCTCAACCGGATCGCACTCCTTCTCTCCCTGAAGCGTCCGATCAATGACTGCTCAGCTTAAGCTACGCTGTTGACAGCCTTATTACGGCCTTATTGGTCTACGTTAATTGAACCAGTGTCTATTTATGACAATATTAGCCTGACCTTCAACACGGAGGGGCTTGGAGGTACCTAGGTTGGGGATGTGACCTCGGGGTCCCATTTTCATGGTTGGAGGATAGTCATGCAATTTGCCGCAGGAGAAGGCCAACCTCCAGCGGGGATTTATCCTTTCCGGTAACCACAAGGCATGTATCAGTTTGGAAACAGTCACAGACATCAAAGTTTTGTAGGTTGGCGTGACCATTTGAATGATTCAATCTTTTTTCCAGCCTCAATGCTCAATGATAGCCCATATTTTCTCGTTATACACACGTTGAATAGAGGGGAAGTATGTGTTGGAACCAGTGTATGTATATAATGACGACTATTCAGTAGAGGAACGGAAAAGTCAACATCATTATAAAACAAAGCAATCTGAAATAATACTATACATAGAAGGATTGCTGTTGAGACCAGCTCAGAGCTATGGCGGTACCGCAACACGAAGATGTGTATCAACCAAGTCAAACCAGATGCCCTGATATCCAGACTCCCTCGATGCCCTGGCCACCTTCACAAATACCTGAAGCCGCGATGCACTTGCGCTTTGGACGGTGAATGAGGTGGCCAAGCGATCTAGCAAAACTTCCCCGGGCCCATTTATCTCAAGCATGGCCATCGTCAAAGGAAGCACCACAGGCAACGCGCTAGATTCCTTTAAATTGACTGCTGACTTGGCAAAGAATGCCAATTCAGAAAATATCCCATTTGCAAGTTTCCCCCCTGCCTCGTCCTCGACTCCTAGCGGATATCGGAGCCGGTGGATGATCAATAAACCAGCCAGACGATACACATTTGCTTGTGTGACCATTGATAAAACTGCATTCTGGCCGTAGCTGTCAAATAGTCCAGTGGGGGTTTGGGGTCGCCAACGTCGGATTGATTCTTCTATTCCATCCAGTCGGTCATGAATGGCCGAGTATGATTCAGATCCGGTAGCAGGGTTTTCTATTTTCAAGGCGTTGCTACACTCGCATATGTCGTAGAAATGAGGGAGAAGTGTTGCACAAAGACCGAGATAGCGGTCGACGATGACGCGACGCTGAAGATCGAGTCGTATTATAGGGATCTCACGGTGCACTAAACACTCGACCGTGTCGATCAAAATCGGTGTCATGGTTATTGTGTCCATGATAGGCGTTGTCACCAACCTGGGAAGCCATGGTTTGGCCGAGATGAGGGCGCTCCGCATGATAGAGTGAGCGGTACTGGAGTAGGGTGCCGTGAGTACATTGAACACGTACATAGTCTGTCCCAGGAAGAGAACACAAGCTGCGTCGTAGTCGTGTGAGATTTTCACACTTCGCAGACGTTGTAATCCCTTTGCTGCCTTGTACATATCGGGCTCGCCCCGCCGTACAACGAGGGTATTTTGGTAATTTGACATCAGTCCTAGGAATGCCAGGTATCCTTCAGTCACAATCGGACCGGATAGTTGCAAAATAACGTAAACAGCCTTCTGAGATGTTGGAATAAAACTATCTCCTAGCATGAACGGTAAATGTATGACTGAGAATTGTTCCACGTCCATAACGGTGCGCAACGCATCTGACATCGTTTGGAAATTGGTCGGGGCGCCGAGTAATTTCTCTGGGGATAATATCACGACATCGGTTTCTGGTGTCCAAGCTTCATCGGCTATTGGAGGTGAGCTTGAAGATGAGCGTTGACTAGATGGTGAAGACGATGCATCGCTCTCGCTTTCCTTGGACTTGGGGCGATGTTGCAACATGTCACTGGAAACCCGTAAGCCCCCATGTGGGAAGGTGGTGACAGAAGATCGTTGTCTCATCCGCTTAATCCGACGGGCGGTGGAGCTAATCTTCAGACGACTACATCTGATGCATGTTGGACTAGCGCCTGCAGCTGCCGTACATTCCTCCTCTTTACTCCAGTTGCAGTGGTCGCAGGCCTTTGGCGACATCATTCTAGCGCGAATGCGCAAGTGGAAATGACAAGAAATTACCGAGTAGTTTTGTAGTAGTCCGCTTGTCGATTTGATGTCAGAGTTGTTGTTATGAATTCGAGTCAGATCGGCCGATTTCCCCGCTCTCCCCAGGATTTCCCCATAGCCGAGGATAGATCGACGCATGGACTTCCTTTTCAAGTAATGAAATCAGATCTTCAAGTTCCAGGGTGTTTTTGATTTGAGAGGTTATTTCGTCATTTTAAATGCCTACTCATTTCATCGACGAAAAAGAACTGGTTGTGTTGCGCAGTGAATCACACCCTCAGTCAAGGGAAGCGCAGACATAAACACATGCCGAACCACGCGATCAGGGCACAGCTTTTGAAACAATACCAGAGATTCCTGATCTCGCCGAATGTCGCCGAACTGTGGAAGAATAAGCCCCCCATTGACGAAATAAAAGTTCACATAGTTACTCACCGGGTCATCATAAGACAAGACCCCGAAGATCTTGGGGGTTCGGCTCGTCTACTATGTGTACCTCAAAAGGGCGTCCCTTTACATCGACTGACTGTCCCAGAATATCCCTGATCTCTTCGTAAACTTCCACCCATGGCCTTGGTATACTAGAATGGGGTCACGAGGGGGCGACAACTCCAGGTCGGACAAAGTTGACTTCAGCATCAACATGCACATCAGTAACATTCAGATCATTTATGCCCGGGAACCAGATGATCTTCTCAACGCCCAAGAGACGGCGTAGCTCTGCTTCGATTGCAGCTTTTTAAAAAACCGGGTTTCGATTTTCGTTGACAATGCTGCTTTCGGTGGCCAGAAGTGTGCCTTGACCATTCACAACTAGCGCACCCCCTTCTAAACAAATGTGTGATTCCACTAGAGTCACCGGAGACGGGGAGATATCGGACCAGAAAACTTCCGTTTACTTCGATTTATTCCGGCATCATCACAGGCTAATCAAGGCCATCTGAAGCCCGTTCATGGCGGCCAATATCATGTTTTCTTCCCCATTCACTAAAATGGAAGTTGATTGCAAAACGTTCCTTGATGACTTTACCAACGCCACGTACATATACATGGCCTACATCGCGAACCTAGAGGTGGTTCGTGGGGAATGAAATGCTAACGATATTCGAGATCTCGCTCGGGTATCTTGTGATAGCTTGGCTAACCATTGACTTTGCCTTATGTACATCTTCCGGTCGCGTATATGGTCAAACTGGCTCATAGGTGGAAATGATAGAGGCTAAGTTGGCTACGTCGACGCATGCGCTTTCGTAGTACGCTGAGGCGATGGAGGCTTGGGATGGGAATCCGAGAATGGTCGCTGCATGACGGGCTGTCTCATGGGGCAGGAAAAATATGCTGGCTTTTACTGAAGATAAAGCCATATTTGCAACGACTGGATTACCAACGAACATTCTACACCAGAGGCTGGGTTGGGTCCCTGTGAAGAATTTAAGTTGCGGGACTAGTCTCCGCCCGTTGACTTTACTTACCTCTTGGAATAGCATTGGCAGCATAAATAGCCACTCTACTACCTAAACTACTCTGATCATTTCCTACAAGTTAACTACAATGAAATAAAACCATATGACTGATAGCAGACGTGATATTGAACTCCATGGAGTGAAACCGAAAGTCTATCAGCAGCTAGCTATCAGGACACCGATAGTCCATGACTCAAAATAAAAGACAATCCCAATCTCGGACACAAAAAAAAAATCCCAAAGAAATTCCTTAAAACCCCGTAACCGTAAAAATCAAAGGCCATCACACCGTAGCGCATTAAGTAAAGCCATCGACCACCATATGATCCCACACAGTGGGTAGCAAGATCGGTCAAGGCCATTCATGTCGTGAGGCAAATTTAACCACCGAAACCGTAGAGGGTACGGCCCTGGCGCTTGAGGGCGTAGACGACGTCAAGGGAAGTGACGGTCTTCCGCTTAGCGTGCTCAGTGTATGTGACAGCGTCACGGATGACAGACTCAAGGAAGGACTTGAGCACACCGCGGGTCTCCTCGTAGATCATGGCGGAGATACGCTTAACACCGCCACGACGAGCGAGACGACGGATGGCGGGCTTGGTGATACCCTGGATGTTGTCGCGCAAGATCTTGCGGTGGCGCTTGGCGCCGCCCTTGCCGAGACCCTTTCCGCCTTTTCCGCCTGTTTGGATTTGTTAGTTTTGGTTCGGTATTTGCGTGAAGTATTAGGACATAGTATTGGGGATGGGAGTATAAAATAAGACAGGATGATGTGTAGGGGAGTATAGGGAGGTGAGGGTGGTTGGAGGTTGTGTTAAGATGTGTCAGGGTGGATGGCTTTTCCTAATTAGGAAAGGCGGGATGCAGTTTATGCCTGAGGCATACATCATGTGCCAACAGGAACATCATCAGTTCCTTATTTTGGGAACTTCATCCCGCCACGGCGACAACAAAAAGATAGGGGTATAGTGACAACAAGATATCATAAAACAGTAATACTTACGTCCAGACATAGTTTCAGATATGAAGAATTAAAAGTACTTGAGATGTAGATGGATCGACGACTGTGTTGACGATAAACGATGAAAAACACGCGTTTGATGGGTTGGCGTTGAGAATAGGAGGGGGAAAAAATAGGAGAATGACTAAATGGAGGGGGAAGACAGTTTAAATAAGGAGGCCGATTACGCGTGATCCGGGAAGTCAGTATTTTAGGTAAGCGAGAGGGATTTACTCATTCTGCAATGCGGCGGTGATTGGCGGGCGGCGGGGAAAGAAAAAGAGCGTTATGAAGGGCCGGTTTCCAGCGCATCTACCAGGCATTGCCGAGCCCGCATTTTCCAGCGCGGAACGACATTGATACTGGTCACGTGGTGATAAGATAGGAAAACGGAGCTAGCCAAACATGGAAGTATACCCCAAGACTCCACTCAAATGCATGTGAACTTCTATCTTTCCATCTTTATCTACTCCGTAGCCTATCAACGCGTGACTAGCATTTTTGTTGAGTACTGGGGGTAATGAGTTATAGTTTAGAAGTTATCCTAACAATATACAAGTGAGAAAGGAAGATTAAGTCGGTCGCGTTCATCATTTCTCGTATTATTCAAAACTACGTGGCGTTGCCCATATAGTAGGCTGTCATGTAACACTATCTTCGCACCCTCACGTTTTCGCATCCCATTCCCACGTCCAGTCAGTAAGATAGACCGTATTGGGAAATTGAACCGGAACAACAGGCGGGAAAAAAAAAATCAACAAAGACAAAACGCCAGAACACCATGCAATCAAAAGAAAAACCATAAAGTGGAATGCGACGAGACCAAGAACAAAGGCGAGCATACTAAAAACTTTTTGCGTTGAAAAGGGAGGGCCATCCAGAAAAGAACAGCAAAGAATCGAAAAATGCCTCGGAAAAAAAAGAAATCGTAGCGTCATCATGCGTGGCCGAAGCGACATGCAGAGGTAAAACGAAAAGAGAAAAACGTGAGAATGACCGCATCAAACGAAAGCTGGAACGGTCGTGTCGATAATTTGGGTCGACGACAGGTGGTATCGAGCCGCAAAGCAAATGATTCAACGAAATGTCCGCGGTTTATTATGCATCGCAGAGACAATCGCTCACATGTGCTGCTTGTCGAAACCACTGGCGGATATAGCAGGTAATGTTGGGAGGGAGTCAAAAGAAGAAAATAATCCATCCATCAGAGTGCGCTGATACATGGTGGGTTCAAAGAGACCGAAAGTGGGCCAACGGATCTGTCCAGTTCCATATCCCTTCACGAAAGTCGTCAATGATATGCTTTCAAGGCCGACCAGAAGGATCATAGCCAGGTTGGACGCTGTCATATAACAGTATATATTACTCACCCTCTAATGACCGTTGGAGGGTAAGAGTCATTCATGAAGCTGCGGTTGAGAGGATAGCGAAAAGACCTGGGGGAGGCCGAAGGCCGCGGAGAGGCGCGTGGGCTAACACCCACAGGAGCACTGAGAGGAGCAGGGGAGCGAGGAGACAGCGGCGGCGAAGGACAGGCTGGGGCAGAGATATGCTTTGGGGCCTCGCCTTCACGACCGCTGGAGATCGATGGGTGTGCTTTCAGGTTCGATCCTTGCGGAGACCCATACTATCAGAGGGTTAATTAACTTTCTCGAGTTTTGCCGTTGGGGAACTTACGAAGCAGTACTTATCGACCAACTCCCGATACACGGAAGATTCGAGCTGTGGCTTGCTAGATACCAAAGACGAAGGTTTCAGATCTTCCACACGAGCTCCAGTGCGGAAATCATCGCTCACTGCAGAAGCAGGACTCTGCTCAAAACTAGGGGTTTTCTTGGTCGGCTTAGCGGTCTCCGGCACCACGGTCTCCCCAGATCTCGCACGGGCAGTCAGAGTGGTCCGATCCAGAGGCGCCTTCGACCTCATAGCAGCAGACAGCGACGCTCCGAAGTCGTACCGGTTCCCAAATGCCTTGGAATTTTCACGGCGTTTAGGTGGCTCGACCGTATCGATCTCCTCCGAGGGTGTGCGAGTCAAGGGAGCACCATTCATGTTATTGAAGGGGTTTGTGAATGGCTTCTGATCGCCGAGGTCAGGGAAATCATAAGTAATCGGCATGGATTGCGGTCGCATGCCATGAGAGCTAGTGAAGGATCGGCTGCGCGGAAGAGCAGGGCGAGATCCGCCACTTGGAGGTTTGCTCGCGGGTGTCTTGGGCACTTTGTGGAAATCAATCTGGTAGTTCACAGTATCATTGTTATCCCAATATTCCTGCCCCGCCACGTTATAGCGGATGCACATGAACATGGTCTTGGTCTCCAAGTTGGCCTGATCATTCAGCTTAAGGTCAAAGGAAAAGCGATCGAACCCGTCTGCAACTTGCTGGCGGCGAACATCTTGGCAGTATGCCGCTGCAACCTCCGAGGTAGTCCTCCAATAATCTAATGTGAAACGAGCTGTCACATTCTTGTGAAACGCAATATTGGCCACTGCCACAGTACCGATCAAAGTGCTTTTATCAGCCGACAAGAACAATCGCTCCAGGCGGACCGGACGAGTGGCACGTGATGGGGTATCCTTGGGCCAATTGGCAAGTTTGATCTCCCACTCCCACGACGGACCGCGCGAGTCAGCACCAGATCCAAAGGGGAACTCCGCCTTGCTGTCGTGGTTTTCAACTGGCGATGTTTCTGTGCTGACAGCCAATGGCCGGTCGAGCTGAAGGAAGTGACGGATGTGCTCCAAGTGAGAGTCGAAGTGCACCGCCTTGGAATAGACGGGAGTGCCAGGCATGCTGGATGGTCGCCGCCGTGCCGAAGAAGGACGAAGAGCAGGTCGAACAAGCTCACCTGACTTTTTACGGACCATCGGGGGCTTGCATGACATCTCCACATCACTTTCCTCGGGCGAGCTAGTCAGTGCCTGTTCCCGAGCCAACTCGATTGCGGTTTCAGTGGATGATCGAGAGTGGGCGATCTTGCGAGCTTCTTTGGACAATGGTAGGTGGGGGAGCTTGGGCCGAGTGGGGGTTGCCTCAGTCGATTGCGCATTCGAGGGCCGAGCCGACGTTTCTGGATCTGCTTGACCCATTCTTTCCGGTGAACTCTCTCTCCTCAGTTTAATCGATCGAACAGCAGCCTCCAGCTCGTCAAATTTGACCCCCTCACCACTCCGGTATGGTGATTCTTCATCACTTGAGTTTAGTGCTGACTCAGGAGGCGAGATTACCGCCCCGGGAGGGATGATAGCATTGCTTATTGGTGGTGGGGACTGACGGAGACTGGCGTGTGGATCGATAGAGGGGGAGGCCCGGGCTGGGGATTCTGGAGCAGAATGCACTTTCGGTTTGGTGTTCGAAGGACTCCTCCGATGACGACGGGTATATGAGGTAGAGGAATATGAACGGGAAGTCTGGACCCGTCCGGAGGATCGAAGCAAACCGGGCCGTTCGCAGGGCTCTGGTTTTGAGTATTCAATGTGCTGCGCGGCGAGCAACGTCTTCGATGGCGCAGTGTATGGCATCCGGCCGACTTGTGTGTCTCAACACAAGAAGGGGGAAGATAGATAGTAAAGACTCTGTTCAATCACAATCATGTGCTTGAAGTAGCTCTGTTAGTAAGGGTCGTTAAATGTGTGGCGATCTTGAAGTGGCAAGAGGCGTAGACAACATGCCATGGGAATCCACCAGGGCATAAAAGGGGAGGTGACACTTGAGGAAGATGCCGGTAGAAAGGGTATGACAGGTATCACCAGAGTAAAAAGGGAATTGGGTTCCGGGGGGGGGAGGGGGAAGGAGCTTATACCGTTGAAGTATGAACGGAGTGGCGAGGTATTAACCAAAGCGGGAAAGGTTTAACAAAATACAGAAAAGATAGATGTACATATATAAAAAAGAAAAAGA